AATACGATAGCGGTGTCTGAGTCAAAGGGCAAAAGAAGCCGTGTTTCCTTGTTGATGTTGATTCAAATTAGACTGATCCATCTGCCCGACAGCTCTCGGCTTGACCCACTGTGGATGTGAATCTGAATGTGGCTGGTGGCTGCGGCTGAGGCCCTGGATGTGGCTATATTCCTTGTTGACTGTTGGTGGCGGGGCTAATGGAGTTTGCAAGAAGTGGGCAAAAATGTGGATCAAGCAGCCGCATTCGCACAAAGACCCCCTCCTTTTACCACCATTTTCCACTCCTTCCTTCAAAAGAGAAATGCGAGCAACTTTGCAAATTGTTGCTGCCACCCGCATCCCAGCCTGCATCTTGCTGCCCCACTTCCTTGGACCCACCGCAAACTGCATGAGGTTGCCAACTAGCTGCACCAAGAAAAATATTTACCAAAACTTTGAAAGCACTTAAAAAATATTTGGGAAATTTTTCAAATGGGTTAAAGAAGAGTTTTTAATTAATAATAACTAATTTATTTATTTATTATTTTGCCCATTTTTTTATACCCTTGCAGAGGGTATTATGATTTCAGTCAGAAGTTTGCAACGCAGTGAAGGAGACGTTTCCGACCCCATAAAGTATATATATTCTTGATCAGCATCACAAGACGAGTCGATCTAGCCATGTCCGTCTGTCCGTCTGTCCGTCTGTCCGTCTGTCCGTCTGTCCGTCCGTCTGTCCGTCTGTCTGTTTCTACGCAAACTAGTCTCTCAGTTTTTGAGCTATCGGGACGAAACTTTCGCAAAAGTCTTCTTTCTATTGCAGGTAGTATATATGTCGGAGCCGACCGGATCGGACAACTATATCTTATAGCTCCCATAGGAAGGATCGGAAAAAAAAAACTTTAAAAAATTCTAGCTTCGGTGTTTTTTGAAATATTACCTTCTACTTTTGGGGATGTTATTTTTTAAATATTTCTGAATTTCGAATTAATTATTTAAAAAATCAGACTACTATATCATATAGCTGCCATAGGAACGATCGGAAAATTAATGGAAAAGTAATAGGAAATAAATTCTAGCTTCTTTGGTTTTTATTGTATTATCTTCTACTCTAGGATATGACTCTTTTTAAATATTTCCGAATTTCAATTTTAATTTGATCAAAATCGGACGACTGTATCATATAGCTGCCATAGGAACGATCGGAAAATTAATGAGAAATATTAGAAAATTGAACATTTTTGCGATTTGTTAATTAATAGGAATGATCTGCAAGGGTATATAAGCTTCGGCTGGCCGAAGCTAGCTTCCTTTCTTGTTTTAATATTGTTTTACTTTTATAAAAATGTATCTGTAAAATACGTTAGGTTAAACCATTTTCTATTATAAAAGTAGATGCTTAAATAAGGGAGCAACTCTTTTTTTTAATATATACCACAACTTAGGAAACACTTTACAAATATAAAAGAATTTATATTTAAAATTTAGTAAAGAATTAAAAAGTAAAAATTAACTATTTGTATTCAAATTTTTTCGAAAGCCTAAATTTAAAAAAAATAAAATTTTTTTTTTATTAATTTTCGAATATTATTTAATTGTAATAAGAAAATGTATCTTGTTCAGGACCAAAAAAATCAGGAACAATTAATTTTGGACCTTATATTTTGATAGTTAAATTTTCTTGAAGTTAAGGAACATTTTTTTCGAGTGTAGCTCTGAAAGCGGGGTTACCACATGGACACCAGTGGGTCGACTGGCCTCAGGACTTGGGTCTTTCATCAGGCCAGAGCCAGAGCCGTAGCCATAACCATAGCCATAGCCATAGCCAGAGTGCAAGAGATGGAGCCAAGACCAAAACCGAAGCTGAAACCAAGGAGTGAGAAGTGGAAAAGCGGTGGCTGCTTTGTTTATGTGGCTCCATTTGGGCGTATGCATGACCCACTCAACCACCCATCTGAGCCAGCCACCCACCGCCATCCTGTGGTTGCTGCTATTGTTGGGCTGGGGCCTCAAGCTCTACGTGTGAGTGGTTTTAGTGTTGTTCTGGATTTTTGTACCCCTTATTTATAGAGAGGAAAGGTATACAAAAAAAGAGAAAGTATGGGTTCTAAGGTGTTAAAATATATGGGTGCTTTTAGTCTTGATCAGTCGATAACCAAGTCCATCTGTTCATCTCAGTTTGGTTCCTTTGCAATAATAAGTATCTAGCGGACTAAAATCTTTATTAAAGGTGTCTAAAAGAATGCAAAATTAAATGTTTTATCCTTAAATCGCTATATATATACCAAAATATTCATACTTTAAAAATAATCTTAATAATTACTACCCAACAAAAGGTGTCTAAAAAGATGCCATGAAAATATAGATACAAAATCTCGGCACTTATCCAAAAACCTTAAAAGTAAATTTTTTTAAAATATTGATTTCAACCTCTTAAGGTTTTTGTAATACTTTTAGACACACATGATTTTATATCTATCCATTAAAGGTCCTTTGAAAATATAAAAACATCACATTACGATAATCTAAACATTAAACTATAGGATTTATTAGTGATTTTAAATCATTTACATGTTATGATGTTTTTCATGATTAATGGGTACCTAATAGTCGTACCCCTCGACTTAAAAGCTCTATCTTGTTCTGGATTTTTAAGTTGTTTTCGTTGTCGTAGGTTGTTTGTGTTGCCTTTTTTGTTGTCCTGTGTGCGAGGTTTTGCCTTTTTTCCTGTGTGTGTTGCATCCTCGTCTTTAGTTGCAATTTGAGGCACAGACACAGACACACAAACACCGAAACAGACACGAATGCACTTGGCCAACACACACATAGGAAACACAGACACACTGTGAAATGCTGACACCAATTAGGGTTGCAGGTTGTTGCCGTTGTTGTTGTTGCCGCCGTTAGTTGCTGTTGGTAGTTAGTTAGTTTGGTTGCACTTTGTGCGTTGCATGTTTACAGTGGCCACAAAACATAATTTCTGTTTAGACAACTTTAGCCCCAGCTCCAATTGCACTAGCTTCTGGCCAAAAGCTTTGCAAAAAAAACGGGGTAAGGTAGGGGTAACAAAAAAAAAGAAGAAGAACAACAGGGTCATAATTATTGCGCCAACAAAGAGAGCTGCAACATCTGCCAGCGGTAAACGATGTTGCCAGCAGGCAGCAGGCAACACCAGCTGAATTTTCGGTATAATTTTCACTTTGGCCAAGAAACTTTTTCGCTGCCGCATTGAATTTGCAACCAGCTAGCAGCTAAAACCCGGCCAAAAGCAGCAGCAGCAACAGCAAAAGCAACAAAGTTCATGAGTTGATTAGAAACTTTTTTAACCGCTCGCTGCAGCTACATCCTTAACCCGCTGAAATCCTATAGCCAACATGCTTCTCAACCAGATATTGCACTCGGATAAAATATTTTATGGCTTTTCTAAAGTGCAATTTGGGGTAGAGCATGCTTTCTTAAATTAAGAAATTAAAATACATTAAAAGGAATTCGGTGTTAATATTATAATATTCTAGCTTTTTGGTTATCAGAAAATATTTTTGTGAAACATTTTTATATCTTTAAAACAATTTGTATAGTTTAAAAAATTTTTTTTTAATTTTTTACTTTTTTAAAACTTAACTTTCCTTAATATTTTGTTTAAATTGTATGACCTTATTTTTTATAGATTTTAGATTTTTGTACATAAAGCCTAATCCTATTTTTCGATAATTTTTGGAATTATTTATGATTCCTGTTTATCATGAAAAATGTTCTTAAATCTATTTATCAAATTAAGGACTAGAGTTATTTCTATTGAGAAAGTATGTACTCTTAAGATATGTTTTAAAAATGTATTTCTTTTGTCAAAAATATTTCATTTTATGTTTTTTATTAAATTTAATATAATTTCTCTAAGTGAACTGGTTGCTAATGGCAGCTCGTGAGCTTGGCATATGCGAAGAGACCTCAATCCGTGGCTTAGGTTCCCGTTCCCAACTCTGCACTATATGCTATATATGGTGTACCGTATACGTATACCGTATAGCAGTTGGTTGCCGGGGTTGCCGGCTTATCGCTTGGCTGCTTTGTCGCATAAACTATGCGAGCATCAACTTTTTGTAATTAATTTTTAATGTGTGCAAAATGTTTGTGTAAACGAGTATGTTGTTGTTGTTTGGAGAGCGAGAGCTTCGCCATATCAAGCGGATGTCGTTAGAACGGTTTATCAAGCGCTCTAAGAGGCGGATAAACTGCGGCTCCGGTGTGGGAATATATACTTTATATGTATACTATTTAAGTTTGTGTTTAGCTGGCGCAAATAATTGGATTTCGCTTGAAACTAGGGGGTGCGAGCCAAGACTTGCAGGCTCTTAATTCCTCAAACGGCATTTCTTTGCACTAATTGCATATGACAATGCTGCATAACACAATCCATATCCCAGCCACCCACCTGACTGGCACCCTCAAAAAATAAACCCACCCAAACACCCATTAAAACACCCACATAGTGCGAGAATGAGAGGGAAGAAGGAGTGAAGCAGAAGAGCAGACCGCATGACGAGAATTGGCATTGCCAACTTGCAGCAATTTGCCAGAACCAAAAATTGATTTACCCTCGACTGCAAGTCTTCCAGTTTCAATGCACTGGGAGAAATTATGTTTAAGAATCCCCGTATTCCTTGTTCTCCCTCATTCTTATTAAGAAAATTGGCATCATTGGCCGAGTTGCATTTTTTACAGCATTGGCATCATTGTCAGTTTGAAACAATGATGCCAATCATTTGTCATTTTTCGTACTAAATTACATTTTGTTAAATTTCAATACTAAATTCGGGTAATATATTTTTCCTGAGTGCAGTATGCTCTCCTCCTCGCTCACTCTGTACCCGTTTCGCATCCATCCATCAGATAAACGTTTTGCTATCTGCAATCTGGGAATCGCATTCGCATTCAGCCCCCTTTGTCCACTCCACTCCACTAACGCTCTATCTCTCCGCTGTGTTCTTGTGTTCCCCCTTTCATGGGAAACATTTTTGCAGAGATTTGCGTTTCAATCACATCGAGGAGCTGCCGGCCAACGCGTTCAGTGGTCTCGCCCAGCTGACGACGCTCTTCCTCAATGACAACGAGCTGGCTTACCTGCAGGATGGGGCACTCAATGGACTGACGGCGCTGAGGTTCCTCTATCTGAACAATAATCGGCTAAGCCGCTTACCCACGGCCATCTTCCAGCGAATGCCACGCCTGGAGGCGATGTAAGTGAACCCGCCTTAATTAAGGATCCCCGTTCGAGCAATCGCCTTACTTACTTTCGTCCCTTTCCCCTTTCAGTTTCCTGGAGAACAATGACATTTGGCAGCTGCCCGCCGGCCTCTTTGACAACTTGCCGCGTCTGAATCGCCTGTAAGTCGATGATGATTCCCTTTTTTTGGAAGTGGGTGTCTCGCCTCCTGTCACTAACTTTTTGGACTGTCCTCTGGTTCTCCATTCAGGATCATGTACAACAACAAGCTGACCCAACTGCCCGTGGATGGTTTTAATCGGCTGAACAACTTGAAGCGCCTGCGACTCGACGGCAATGCCATCGACTGCAATTGTGGCGTCTACTCGCTCTGGCGCCGCTGGCACCTGGATGTCCAGCGTCAATTGGTGTCCATATCGCTCACCTGCTCCGCTCCCCAGTTGCTTCAACATCAGGGATTCTCCAGCCTGGGCGAGCATCACTTCAAGTGCGGTAAGTTTTAGTAAAAGGGGTCGATTTTCATGGATACCAAGAAAAATATAAATCGTTGGGTTATTATTATAGATTGTTTATTAGATCACAGAAATCTGTAGAAATTGTAAAAATTATTTTAAATTTTAAAACATTTTAAGCATTTTAGTTGCGGTTTTTAGAAAGTTGGCATCATTGTCCGACGGGTACAATGATGCCAATCATTAGTTAATTTCAAATGCTGTGAAAACTTTAAATGGTGCCAAAGAATTAAATATAAATTATAGAACATCTTCTACGATGCATTTAAAAGTTATGTCAAATCTGTAAAAAATTTCACATACATTTTAAGAATTCTCTTTGACAATATAATTAAAATTACTTTAAATTCTCAAAAAAGCTTAAAACATAAATATTTTAAAAAGTGGCTTTTTATTTTTAAAACAAAAAAAATGTTTAATACAGGTTTTAAAAGTTTAACAAATATTTCTGTAAATTTACCTCTTAAAAAATGAATTGGATTGACTATTCAAACACATAAGCTCACCTTCAATTTCAATAAATTTTCCTTTAAATTGAGTCGAACGAATTTCCCTGAAAGCCCCAGACACGATTCGAAGCATGATTTCTGATATGCGCCGCAGCTGCATTTTAATGCCTCATTGATGGCCCCTCTCTGAAATGGTATTACTTTGCAGCCAAGCCGCAGTTTCTGGTGGCTCCCCAAGATGCCCAATCCTCGGTGGGGGAGCAGGTGGAGCTGAGCTGCGAGGTCAGCGGCCTGCCACGCCCCCAGATCACGTGGATGCACAACACCCAGGAGGTGGAGATTGAAGAGGAGCCACCGAGGAGGGCGGAGATCCTGCCCAGCGGCAGTCTGCTCATCCGCAGTGTGCAGCCCAGCGACATGGGCATCTATCAGTGCGTGGCTATCAATGAGATGGACGAACTGCGCTCCCAACCTGTCCGCCTGGTAGTTAATGGCGCTAGCCACCCACTCGATTCGCCTCTGGATGCCCGCAGCAATCAGGTGTGGGCGGAGGCGAAGCCATCATCGGAATCACCATTACCATCGCCACCGCACTTCACCCACCAGCCACGCGACCAAATTGTGGCCCTCCATGGCTCCGGACACGTGCTCCTCGATTGCGCCGCCTCCGGCTGGCCACAGCCGGACATACAATGGTTCGTCAATGGCCGCCAACTCTTGCAGTCGACGCCCAGCCTCCAACTGCAGGCGAATGGCAGCCTCCTCCTGCTGCAGCCCACCCAACTCTCCGCCGGCACGTATCGCTGCGAGGCTCGCAATTCTTTGGGCAGCGTCCAGGCCTCGGCCCGCATCGAACTGAAGGGTGAGTACATTTTATAGAGATGCTACATTTTGAGTGGGATATATATTTGCTAAAAAAGGTACTTGCTCACATGCAGAGAAATGGGGTGGAAATCAGTGGTTAATAGCTGGCATGAACAAAATAATTAAATTTACATTTTACAGCATAAGTTTAGAGTTTACTGATTTAATTTTTGATTTTTCAAAGATTTTTTACCAGTTCTAAATCAATAAAACGGAAAACGCGAATTCTTTAGCATTATGTACAGCAAATTAAGTTATTACTGAGGTATTTTTATTTATTCCAGGTTTTTCAATTGTTATAAATCAATAAAAAGAAAATACGAATTCTTTAGAATTATTTTGAATTTTTCACAAAATTGTTCTAGAAAATTAAACCCAAAAAACGAAATACGCCAATTCTTTAGCATAAAATATAAGCTTTTTGGAAAAATTATTTATTACACCCATAAAGTAAGCCAAAGAATCCCACCACTTATTAACAAAATTAGTACCCAAGTACTAACCATCACTGTAGAATTCCTGGGTCCTCTTCCAAATGGAATCCCCCCTCTTTAAAAGGCCACACTCCATCTCATTCGCAATCGCCATCGCCCTGTGACAGCCACACAGTTGCACCCGGAATACGAGTCACAACTGTCGCGTTTTACTCAATTTGCAGTCGATTTAATTTGTTTTCGTCTGGGAATGGGAAATGGCAACGATTCCGGAGGCTGGGGAGTGCCATCGAGACTGACCACGCCAAACTCAACTGATATTGGGGCATTGGGACTTTGCAGATGAGTTTGCCCCGGCGGAAAAAATACTAGTGGAAACCCCACTTTCCCAATAGGAAAATTGCGACAAGTTTGACAGCAGGTGGTGTCGGTGATTGGATGGAACTTCATGTAGACAAATCAAATCGCAAAAGTTTTGTATTTTTGCACTCGGCAAAGTTGGCGATTTTTGGGAACAAAAATGTAACTAATTTGTAGGATTTTTATTTGGGAGAAATGGGGTAATATTTTACCAGATATATATTTTTTATAGGTTACTCAATTGGATTATATATAAAATTGCCTTATTAATATAACATTTATTTTATTGTAATTAATATTATTCCAGAGAATTTTTAGTCATTAAACATTTTTTTCCTCTTTTTCTGTGATTGCGATTTTTTTTTGTTTTTTTTTTTGGCCTCTGCTTTTTTTTTCAGTGCAGTGACTTTATGCGATAGTAAATAAATTGCTCTGGGTTTGATTGGCGCACATTAAGCGCTCTCGCTTCGCAGCTACTGGCTTCTTGCTTTTAGCTGCTTGCTCATTAAATAACCGAAGAAGTGCATCCCGGCAGGAGGTTAACCCCGAAACAACTTGGCACTTGAGCTCTTTATGTTTTTCCATTCGTTATTGCCGTATTTCGAGAGCGTTTTGTACGTGACTGTACTTTATGGCGCAATAGAAACGGCCAACGGGGAGTGAAATATATATATACTTCCTAAATATTGCCCCAGGGGAATGGAGATCACAGACGGCCAAAAGTGCATCCACCGCCGCCTTGATGCAGCGCACAATGCACAATGGCTCATTATAATTTGTGGTTGTCGGCACAAAATGAAGTGCGAAATTTATGCATTATTTTGCTGAATTAAGTGCAAAAATTATAAACTATTATGTGCGGCGAGGGCACGCACAAATTGCGCGCGATGCACTGCGGTTTTGCGAAAAATGGTGAATGGTGAACGGTGAATGGGGATTAGGGGATCAAGGGGTTTCGAGGGGTTTCCGAGGGGACTACGGGGCGGATGAACTGTTTAAGCAGTCAGGCATGGCGCTTGGTCAGCATAATTAACCCGGCAAACGCATAAACAGACACGGGCAAACACTCGAGCAAACACAAACATTCGTATATTAATAAATATGGCGGCCGCGCTGAAAAGTATGCTGCGAGAATTTTGTATTTCATATTACGCATACGCCCCCAGGGCCGCGACGAAAGTACAGTGCACTATAGGCTGGATGACAACTTTAGGTGGCCAAAAGTAATTTTTTGAAAGTCCTTAAAATTAGGATCCAATGATGTCATTCTGTTAGGATAACATCAGACTTTAATGTTACATACCAGAAATTTTAACAGAGTCTCGCACTGTTAAGGTACAGGCTGTTAGAACAGCTGTTGGCAGTGACGGGCGCACGTGGATCAAATAATTTAATAAAAACAAGAACTTTTAAATTAATTCAAAGAGCAATTTAGAACGATTATAACAACCGGTGCTTTACGGCATCGAAAGAGAGTGTATTAAACTAATTATTTGTATATTTTAAGTGTTAAAATATAATTCGGTTTCTTTGCAATTGACAATTTATTTATACCCCTTTAACTTTTAACAAATCGAAATAAAAACTCATCTTTAAATAGACAAACAAAGAGAATGTGACCTAGTTTCACCTTAATATTTATACTGGGTTGTAGGGAATACAATTCTTGTTCATATCAATGTTATTTGAAGGTGCACTTTTGCGCACTTTTTCTTGAATATGTATTTAAAGGCCTCGACCTAAAACGGCAAAACACACGCAAAATTGGTGCACAAATCTCAATTGCGATGATATTTTTAATGAACGGTATACAGGTATCTTTCTAATTATATATTAGTAATTAAAAAATTTTTTAACACCATCTTTTCAAAAGAATAACTTTGTTAAAAAGTATTTTTGAATTTTTTTTGTTTCCTTTATTGATTTTAATAATTAAGACTCGATTGCACTTAACAAAAAAATGGAAGGCACTCAATTTTTTTTTGGTAATTATATACTTTTTATTATAAGCAAAACAATAAAAAAATATAATTTTTAAAGTTTATTTTTGTCATAAAAAAAATTTTTTTTTTTTGAAAAAAGGCGTGACCATGCCCATTTTTTCATAAAAAACATAAATTTAATATTATATATGCAATTAAAAAAAAATACCTTTAAATTGTTGCTTCGTTTTTAAGTTATTAATTAAGGCCACAAAAAATGGTCATCCAGCCTATAGTGCAGTGGAGTAAAAAGGTAAAAGGTGAGAAATAATTAATCAGAAAAATATTTAAAATAATAGGTAAATAAAAAAAACATAAATAGGTAATTAAGTAATTAAGTAATACAAGTTAAAAAACAATTGAAATGAAAAAAATATCTAATTGATAAGTTTTAAAAATTAATTTGACATTAATCATATTGATTTTATTGATATTAAATAAGGTAGTATGTGTAGGTTCGGAAATATTGTGTTTCCTAATTATTAGAAATACGTTTTCGTAATATTTGCTTTACCAAATAATTTCATAACAAAATTTTAATTTTAAAATGGCTATGAAAATATTTCAGTATAAAATTCAATTGTATTTATTTAAAGTATATCTTTTAAAATTTGGTTTTAAGTTGTGAATTTATTTATAAAAACCCTTTTGTGATTTTAAAAAAGTTTTTAAAAATTAATTCCCAGTGCGCAGCGGTTAAAGCGGGTCAAAGGGCGTGAATTTGGGTGGGTGGTGGTCGTTTGGTGTTTGGTGGTGCCGTGGCAACAAAAGACTCATAGAAACCAAACCCAAAAACCCCTTCGCTTTTAGCCGCTTGTTGCTGCCATTTGGAGCGCAGTAAAATTGCTCGAAAATCACTCATTCGCCCCGTTGCACCGCTTGCCACTCTTGCAGAATTGCCCGAAATTTTAACTGCCCCGCAAAGCCAAACAATCAAACTGGGCAAGGCCTTTGTGCTGGAGTGCGATGCCGATGGCAATCCGCTGCCCACCATCGACTGGGAGTTCAATGGCGTTCTGCTGGCGGAAAATACGCCCCAGCTGCAGTTGGAAAATGAGAACACCGAACTGGTGGTGAGTTCGGCCCGCCAGGAGCATGCCGGTAAGTAGGGAAAGTGATTTTCCACGCGAAAAACGGTTTACATTTCATTTCAATTCGATACCTTCCTTTCCTTGGACATTATCCCAGGTGTCTATCGCTGCATTGCGAGGAATGAGAACGGTGAGTCGAGCATGGAGGCCACCATCACTGTGGAACGGTCGCAATCGCCACCGCATATCGCCATCGAGCCCACCAATTTGGCGGCCATTACGGGCACCACCATCGAGCTGCCCTGCCAGGCCGATCAGCCGGAGGACGGACTGCAGGTAAACCTTTACATACTTACCTTACCCAAGATTGGCCACGGAATCGGAAACTTTTTTATTTACCCGCCACTTGTTGACGTTTCCTTTTCGGTCTCATTTTCCGCTTGGCCATCGGAAAAAATATCCCTAAAATTGATTTTATAGCTTGGTTGCATCATCAGAACTGTCTGGCAAAGCGGCTTAAAAGATTTCCATAATAATAATAATAGTCTTATTTATTTTTGGAAGTAAATTTGTATAAAGGTGTCCAAAAGTATGCAATAATATTTATTAACTGGGGAATTCTTTGCATTAAATTCTTTTTTGATTCATACTTTTAAAAAGCTTTCAGAGAGATTAAAATAAACTAGTGATAAGGTATACTGAATTAGTATTACTAATAATAAATATCTGCAAACATTTTGTAATCACCTACAAATTCGAAAATCCGTCGCAATAAATTCTTTTTTTCGTTGCATACTTTTAGACAGCTTTTAAAGAGCTTTAAAAATACTAGTAATAAAGTATATTAAATTGAATTTATTTATATTTAAGATGTTTCATAAAAATATTATTATATTATATTTAGACTTACAATAATATACCAAAATTTCTTCCTCTGCATTTTCTCAGATTACTTGGCGCCACGATGGCCGGCTCATTGATCCGAATGTGCAGCTGACGGAGAAATATCAAATAAGCGGCGCCGGCAGTCTCTTCGTCAAGAATGTGACCATCCCCGATGGCGGACGCTACGAGTGTCAGCTGAAGAATCAGTTTGGCCGCGTTTCCGCTTCCGCCCTCGTTACCATCAGGTGAGCCAAACGGAACGGAAGATTCCGAATCAAAATCAAATAGCTCAACTTTGAGCAGCGACCGCAACTTTAATTGCGCTGTCGGCGGTGTGAAGGGCGGATTGCATAAAACTCCATTAAAATCAAAGGGAAAACTTTTGCTCAAAGGCTGGAAAGAAAGAACTGTGGGGGAAAATCGTGGCAAGAAAAGGCCTCTGCCTCTGCTTCTGCCAACAGAGGACGCACTTAAAATGCGTTTAAGTGCGCGGTAAAGTTGCTTAATTAATTGAAAAATAGTTGAGCCGCAGAAAAACTGAACATTAACTTAACGATGCTGCTGGAGATGTGAGAAAGTAAGTGGAGTATATATTTTAAAATCTTTATTGGCAGCATTACTTTTAATTTTACTTGCTAAAGCATTTTAAATTAAATGTATGATTTTGGTGTCCTGTATTTACTGTATTTCCTGTATTTCTGAGTATAGAAAAACAAATATTTATTTAAAAAATGTGTTATTATATTTGAAACAATTTTATTTACAATTTATTTTGAATATTTAAATATTAGTTATAATTATTTAATTTTTAAAATCTATTTTAAATGCTACAAAATTTGTTTTAAAATTAGACTGCAATGTTTTACAATTGCTGGCATATTTTTGGACTCTGCATGCCTCAAATGATTTCTTAATCCTTGCGGAGCTCCACTGAACTAAATTGCTTGGAAACCACTCTCCGCAAAACTATGAAAAGAACATAAAACCATAAAATAAAGCTGCCAGCTAAACTGCTGCTGCTGCACAGTGGTTGGAAACCAGGAAAAATCCTGGGAATTTTTAAGGGTTACCCAGAGAGAATATGAACGAACGACCGAACGAGGAGGATAAACATCAAACTCCGACTGGCTGTTATCAGAAGCAGTTAACAGCTGCACAAACTTGCTAATCCTCTCCAGTTGCCAAGGCAAAGGCTTCAAGCTGCAATCTACAAGCTCCTAGCTTTGGAACTCTAAAACTCCACTGTGTTGTCAGCTAAACTGCAAATAAAATATGCACCAAGAACATCAAAAGGCGGCGGAGGAAAGCACAAAAGTTGTCGCCGCCATCGCCAGTTTTCAGTTTTCCTGTTGCCAGTTGCCAAACTGAAAAACGTGCTAAGCCCGGAAGAGCTACGTGCCACACTCACACTTACATGCGGGAAATTTCTGGGGGGAAATTCGGGGAGAAAATTGCAAAAGACACAGGCAGGCAGTGGAAATTCCTCACTGAGGCAACCGCACAAGTTATCCAAATTGCCCAAATTGAAATTGAGTTGACAAGTTGCTGGCTGCAACAAGAAATAGAAATGCTACACACTAAATAAAACATAGATTTTGAGATAAGACATTTGGGACAAGACAAAAAAAGGGTGGAAATTAAAGTCAAGATTATAAATAAAATAATTATGATTATGGGACACTAAAATATGTTTTAAATAAAATGTTTTCAAGGTAAAAAAAAAATTATTTATAATACATAAATATAAAAAAGTAATCAATTTATCTGTATAACTTTTTAATACATGATTTAAATTATACCATTGTTAAATACTTAAATTTGTCAGCTTAATTTTTTGTAGAAAATAAATTTATATCAAAAAAATAGTTAAATACTTTTAATACATTTTTTCTTAGTGTATCTTTTTGTACGAATTCATTCAATTCAATTGATTTTCACCTAAATATTTTATACACTAAAAGGTAATCTTCACAAAATTCCCCCTTCATTTAAAATGTTAGCATCCCTCTGCAGAGAAACTAGAATTTGAAAATGTAAGTCAATTTATTATTATTTAATTTAAAATGATACTTGACATATTTAGTTTATATTTTCTTAATGCACTTTAATTTTAAGACATTTTTATTAATGTGCAGGCGGTATTTTGTGGCCCATTAATTCCAGGTAAAAGATTGTTTTTTAAGGTGCATCGAAACTAGAACTTGTACCCATCTTGTACCTCAACTTTCACACTCCTTTGGCGGCCTTAGAAGTTTTCGAAATTGTTTGTTCCGCAAAAGGCGACACGATGTGAATTTATTGAGCAAATGGTCTCTGCATCCATCCATTCGCCACAGGCCGTAAATCAATTTGAGGTGGTGAAAAAAAAGGGTGGATTACCAACTTGGCCATTAACCGCCGACTGGCGAATAACTGGAGACCAATGATGGCCCACAAAAGAACCGCCATGGCGGCTTACTTTTCTGCTTGCACAGCCATTTTCCAGATGCATAATGCAGCAGCACAGGAAAAGCGGTTGCTGGATAATGGTGGAAATCTGGGGGATTTCCATGTGTGTGCGGGCTGTGTGCATGGAGCATTTAGTGTCAGGATGGAAGGACGAAGGACTCAGGACGGAAGCTGAATCGGCTTACAGTTCTGCGCCGGCAGCATTAGAAACTTTACTCATTACGGCGGGAAAATGCCGGGAAAACCCAGTCGCCAGACCGCAACAAAGCAGCGGGGGTGGAAAATTATAAAGAAAAAATCTGCCATCAAGAAAAAAAACTAGACAAAGTGTGAGAAAGCAGCGCGCCAAAAGTGAAAAACTATGTTGGAAGAAGGATCTGGGGGCGGATTCCCTAACCCCCTCTATAAAGAGCGAAAAGCGAAAACCGCTGAAAGACCCCGACGAAAACCACTGCAACAAAAATAACAGAAACAACAAAAACACACCGAAATCCGCCTAAGTTGTGGGTAATGCTGGGCGTAAAACAAAAGCTTATCCTGTTACTGCAATTTTTGTTGTTGCTCCTTGTGGAGGAGAAGGAGGAGGTGGCGCCACCGCTGCTCCTGTGATCCTGCTGCTGCTGCTGGCAAAAAGGCTAACCACGGAAATACATTGCCGTACGCCGCAGCATGTGGCAAACGAAAAGGGAGAGTGAGAATGAGTCGGCGGAAGTCGGAAGTCGGAAGGACCAACGAAAAAACCTCGCACCAAATTAGGCAACTAAAAGAGGTGACTGAAAGGATACCCTTCCTATAAAATTAATTTAATTGGATTTAAAATTAAAATAATAAAATTAAATTAAAAAATCCCTTTATTTACTCTTACAAAAAATAAAATATACGATATATGTAATAAGATGACTTGCAAATATAAAATCAATTAAGAGTTGTTTATTTGAGGTGTAAATGTGACACATTTTTTTTTTAAATATTATTACCTAAATAAAAAAAAATATAATAAATCATTATATATACCTCACATTTTCATTAAATATAAATAAAAACCGAATATGATTTAAGGATTTGAAAAATGTATTTTAAAGTTATATATTTAAAGAAATTATCATTTTATAACAAAACATTTCGTTATTAAAAATATGTCAATACTAAATATCCTAGAATATTTGTTATAAAAAATAGCATAATTTGAAAAAATAGTTTTTAATTTGGCTGCATATTTTTTCTTGTATTTAACAAGCTATATTTCATTTTTCCAGTGTAAATTTCATCAACATCTTTTTTTTCAACAATTTTTATTAAGTAGCTATTTTTTCAATAAATTTTAAATACATTTTTTAATTTCAACAAAGATTACTACCACAATTTTAAATTCTATAGTAAAGTCTCCTTAAAGTTTTGCACCTTGACTTTAAGACTTTTTGAAGAACCCCACCAAAAACCATTATCTGCTGAAATAATGGCAAGAATGATTCCCAAAACTTTGTGCAAAATTATCAATGACCAAAATACCGTGGGCAATTGTCAACTGTAGAACAACGGACACCCCGTCGAGTCGCACAAAAAACAACAAAAATAATAAAATAATAGGACCAGGCAAAAGGGCAGCCGCAGAATGGCAGCGTGGAAATATGTAGTCCTTGGCTCCGCAAATATCCACTGCCTGAAGGCGGAGGACTAAAACCAGGACCAAAACCAGTGGCAACTGATAGTGCCAGACTTCTGGTGCAACAGGGTGTATTATGGTCGTTAAGTTATTACCTACAACGTCGCCTCCGCTGCACAATGCCAAAGTTTGCACAGGCGAAAGTTTCCTAAAGGAGCATTCCTTGGCAGCAGAATGCCAGGCATGAATTGTTGTTAATGCTGGGCCCATTTTCCTCCCGCTCCTCCCCACTCAGAGTTGCAAGGCAAAAAGCACAGAACGCGGATTTTTTTTTTTGCAAAAAGAATTCAGCATAATTTTTGTGCTTGGAAAGAAAAAGGCAGGGAAATAGACTGGCTGGCATTTTTATTAGACAACGCGGCCATTTCGGGCGACTCCTGGCGCTGGCATTATGGTAATTAAAATGTGCAAATTCCCTAAGATATCTTGATTGTTTCAACGCTTTGTGTTCTCTCCATTGGGGGTGTCAACTTGGGCCTTCAGGCATTTAATAAAGATTAATCAGAAATTAAATCGCAAACTGGTAGAGTAATGTCCTTTACATGGGCAAGGGAAACTATGGTTTGGGGTCACCATAAGACATTTTTATCACAAAATAAAATAGTTTTTAAACTCTACATTAAGAACTAGATATAAATGACATAGCACTTTAACAAAACTGAAAACCTGGATCACCAATTTAAATCTTTTATTTATTTAAGTGTCTGCATAGAACTGTTCGGGGTCACCATAAGGTATTTTTTTGCATAATTAAAGATCTGCAAACTCATCGTTTAGCACATCATAAATATTAGGTATCGGGGTCACCAATAACTTTTTTTTGTAGATCTAACTTTCGGTTTGGGGTCGCCAAAAGCTATCTTTATCACATAACATAAGGGATTTTAAATTCTATCTCTGGCACACTTTAATAACGTGTTTTTCCTTATGCAAAACTAAATATTGGGGTCACCAACTTGCTTCTTTGATTAATCTTATTTCCTAACCCTTTTCTTTTTCTTCCCCCTTCAGAAACAATGTGGATCTGGCGCCAGGAGATCGTTACGTACGCATTGCCTTCGCAGAGGCCGCTAAAGAAATCGACTTGGCCATCAACAACACCCTGGACATGCTCTTCTCCAATCGATCCGATAAGGCTCCACCCAACTATGGTGAACTGCTGAGGGTTTTCCGCTTTCCCACCGGCGAAGCCAGGCAATTGGCGCGAGCGGCGGAGATCTACGAAAGAACTTTGGTGAATATCCGGAAACACGTTCAGGAGGGTGATAATCTGACCATGAAGAGCGAGGAGTACGAGTTCAGGGATCTGCTATCCAGGGAGCACCTGCATCTGGTGGCGGAGCTATCGGGTTGCATGGAGCACCGTGAGATGCCAAATTGCACGGATATGTGTTTCCATTCGCGATACAGGAGTATCGATGGTACTTGTAATAACCTACAGCATCCCACGTGGGGAGCTTCACTCACTGCCTTTAGGAGATTGGCGGAACCCATTTATGAGAATGGTTTCAGCATGCCCGTAGGTTGGACCAAGGGTATGTTGTATTCGGGTCATGCGAAACCGAGTGCACGGTTGGTTTCCACTTCGATAGTGGCCACCAAAGAGATTACCCCCGATGCCAGGATCACGCACATGGTGATGCAATGGGGTCAGTTCCTCGATCACGATCTGGATCATGCCATACCCTCGGTGAGTTCGGAGAGTTGGGATGGCATCGATTGCAAGAAGAGCTGTGAGATGGCGCCACCCTGCTATCCCATCGAGGTGCCTCCCAATGATCCCAGGGTACGAAATCGTCGTTGCATTGATGTTGTGAGATCCAGTGCCATTTGTGGTTCCGGGATGACCTCCCTCTTCTTCGACAGCGTTCAACATCGCGAGCAAATCAATCAGTTGACCTCGTATATAGATGCTTCCCAGGTCTATGGTTATAGTACGCCCTTTGCCCAGGAACTCAGGAACCTGACTTTCCAAGAGGGTTTACTTAGGGTGGGGGTTCACTTTCCCAAGCAAAAGGACATGCTACCCTTTGCGGCGCCCCAGGATGGCATGGATTGTAGGAGAAACCTGGATGAGAACCAGATGAGTTGCTTTGTCTCGGGAGACATAAGGGTAAATGAGCAGGTGGGCCTGCTGGCCATGCACACCATTTGGATGAGGGAGCACAATAGGATAGCCAGGAAGCTGAAGGAAATCAATTCCCACTGGGATGGTGATACTTTGTACCAGGAATCCCGTAAGATAGTCGGTGCCCAGATGCAACATATCACTTTCAAGCAGTGGTTACCCCTGATAATTGGTGAGAGTGGCTTGAAGATGATGGGTGAGTACAAGGGTTACGATCCCCAAGTGAATCCCAGTATAGCCAATGAGTTTGCCACGGCTGCCTTGAGATTTGGTCACACTATTATCAATCCTATACTGCATCGCTTGAATGAGAGTTACCAGCCCATTCCCCAGGGTCACCTGCTCCTCCACAAGGCCTTCTTTGCCCCCTGGCGTTTGGCTTATGAGGGCGGAGTGGATCCCCTGATGAGGGGCTTTCTGGCTGTGCCGGCCAAGTTGAAGACCCCCGATCAGAACCTCAATACGGAACTCACCGAGAAGCTATTCCAAACAGCTCATGCTGTAGCCTTGGATCTGGCTGCCATAAATATCCAGCGGGGCAGGGATCACGGAATGCCGGGCTATAATGTCTACCGGAAGCTTTGCAATCTTACAGAGGCCCAGACCTTCGATGATCTAGCAGGTGAGATCAGCAACGCAGAGATACGCGGGAAGATGAAGGATCTCTATGGGCATCCGGATAATGTGGATGTTTGGTTGGGTGGGATACTAGAGGATCAGGTGGAGGGTGGCAAGGTGGGTCCCCTCTTCCAGTGCCTCCTGGTCGAACAATTCAAACGCCTGCGGGATGGCGATCGTTTGTACTACGAGAATCCTGGGGTCTTCTCACCCGAGCAGCTAAGCCAAATCAAACAGGCCAACTTTGGTAGAGTTTTATGCGATGTGGGTGATAACTTCGATGAGGTAACCGAGAATGTGTTCATTTTGGCCAAACATCAGGGTGGCTACAAGAAGTGCGAGGATATAGCTGGGATCAATCTTTATCTGTGGCAGGAGTGTGGAAGATGTGAGAATAGTCGACCGGCCATCTTTGATTCCTATATACCACAAACTTATACAAAGAGGAGTAGCCGGCAGAAGAGGGATCTTCAGGATATCACCACCACTGCTGAAAGCTATGATAGTCCTTTGGAATCCCTCTACGATGTGAATGAGGAAAGGGTTAGCGGTTTAGAAGAACTAATTGGCAGTTTCCAGAAGGAACTGAAGAAACTCCACAAGAAGCTGCGTAAAGTGGAGGAATCCTGCAATTCCGCTGATACCGAACCGGTGGCTCAAGTGGTTCAATTGGCTCCTGCTCCGCAGCAAGTGATCAGCAAGCCCAAGAGGAGCCACTGCGTCGACGACAAGGGAACCACGCGGCTGAATAACGAAGTCTGGTCACCGGATGTCTGCACCAAGTGCAACTGTTTCCACGGTCAGGTCAATTGTCTAAGGGAACGATGCGGCGAGGTCAGCTGTCCCCCGGGAGTTGACCCCCTCACGCCCCCCGAGGCCTGCTGCCCCCACTGCCCGCCGTCTCTGGTCAAGTGAGGATCTCAGCCGCAAGAAATACGCATATCGATGTACACGTTTATCCGTAGTAGCCACTCACTCACTCTAATCAAAACGCAAAAAAAAAAAGAAAAAATAAAAAAACACACCGGCAATTGCGCAATGAGCATGTTTAATTGACAATTAACTAACAATGTACTGCTACACATGTAATAAAATAAAGCACATTAATATTCCATAAATAAGCGAGTCGTTTTGAATTTATTTGGAATATTTCAGATAATTGGAAAAGTTTGTATTAAATACTAAAATCAAAAAAAATTACAAGTCCTTAAGAATTTTGAAATATTTTCCTAACACCTGGAAAAAATAATTTAGAAACTTAGAAAAGTTTATCTTTTGCCCGTATTAAACAACCCAAAAAATCTTTATAATATCAAAACCTTTTTTAACAGACAAAACTATTTAAAATATTCAAAATCCATTTAAAATAAATCTTTAACAAATAACATTTAAATTCCAAGACTGTTTTAAAACAAATTTAGTTTCGAAAAGTTTTTATGTTTTAGAAATACCTATAAATCAAAATAGCTTTAAAATAATCTAACAATATGCCAATGCCATATCACTTTATTAAAGCAACTCCCGATATTACAAAAATTGTAATTAAAAATCCTTCGCAATATACAGTCTATTCAAATTTGATATATTTCAGGTGGGTGCCCTTGGCTATCACCGTGTCGTCCTTCTTGTGCTTTAAAGTGCAGTCGATGAAGGCCAGGTACTTGCCCACCTTGGAAAGATTGGCCTGAATCACCACGTCGTCGCCCAGTTTGGCTCCATTTAAAAAGTTTACACTAAGATCCACCGAAACGCCGGGATGACAGGGTTTCGACATTAAAGCGTAGGTGGTAATCATGTCCACCAGAGTCATAATATAGCCACCGTGCATAAACTTGTACACATTCACATGATCCTTGTCCACTTTCAGTTCAGCTGTGCAGGCTCCATCGCCGCCATCCACAATCTTGACCTTTATTAGGAGAGATCAGATAAAAGATTAGATAGTAGGTATTTAATGATCTTACCTTTTGAAGGTGACTTTCAAAACCCGTTGATTTGGCTATAATTTCGGTGATATGTTTGGCAAATTCGACTCCTTTTTTGCGAGTTCCCATATTTTTTGCTTTTGATGGATGTTGCTCTATAGACGATCCGTTGGGTTCTATTCAACTGCAATAGAAATTCTGATTTCTTCGGAAAGATTAGAAAAATACTAGATACATTTTTGTAAATAGACTGATTGATATAGATAGATAGATAGTCGTATCGGGCACTTAAGTGTCAAGTCCTCTTTAGCAAGGAATTTCAGAACAATCCATTTTTATTGTATAGTTTTTTCAAGGAAAGATTATATTAGGTACTTGATAGAGGGTTAATACATATACGTTTATGGAAGTACTTAGACTAGATTGCTGCAGAAGCAGAAGTTGTAGATGTAGATTGTAAATGGATTGCTTTGATTTTATTTCAGTATCTGATTTCTTTATCTTCGAGTGCAGTTTTCCGCCTTTTGATGAGAGCAAACCACTTACAATTATCAAAATAAATGTACACACAAATTAAATGAAGTCATGAAACAGTAAAGGAATGTTCAACTACCAAACTTCGACCGGAATGCCTCCGAAATCAGCTTACAAATCGCACAAAATAACGTAACACCTAAAAAAAAAACAATAACAATTCCAAAACAAACAACAGCTGTTTTTCCGACTAGCCTGCAATCGATTTATCGAAAGGTTGTCAAAAACAACCGGCAAGAAATCGATAAAATTAGTCTTTTCAAATTAAATTTGCCATCAGTTATTTTGAAATTATTTTAAAATTGTGTTATAGTCCACAAATATTTAATGCTCAATAACTACTCAATTATTGTTCCAATAAAATCTTTAATACTCCTTCACTGCTTTCTCAATCGTCTAAGTCGATATCATTATACAAAGTCGAATTTCCAGGCACAGGAAATAGCGGGGAAGTGTTATTGTCCAACTCCAGCTGCTTTTTATACATTTTTAGCATCTTAGAATAAACTTCACTAGATTCACTGGACTGAGACTCATATCCACTGGCAGCCTTCAGCTCCTTCAAAAGTTCTTTCCTCTTCAAAGTGGAACTTCCCGAGGGCTTAGCGACAGCACTCAACCCTGAAAGGGAAAACTTCAATATGTTAAATCATCCTGTTCATTCGTCATGTTACCGTTCATATCAGCAGACTCATTAGACTCATCAGCACCATGATTTCCACTAGCCACACTGGTAACCTTCTCCTGGGAAACCTTCTCTTTCTCCTGAACAGTGTCACCAGCACTCGCTTCCTTGGAATTTCCCGTAGGTTGCTCAGCTCCTCTGGTTGGCCCTCAAAAAAACTTTTTGGCACGCTCATGGCGTAATCACCGGATTTAAATGTTATTTCATCCATTATTTTTTCTTTATCGAATTTTTTATTTTTTTATTTTGCTGCTCTACAACAAATCACCAACTTGATTTTCTTATCGTCGAGTGCTGTGATCCGCTTTTCAATGAATGATATCAAAAGTATGGATTGCTATATGGAACATATCAAACGAAAGTAACGTAAATAATTTTGTAATAGTTTATTTATTTTCCATAAAGGTCGATAAATTGTTTTAAAAATCCAGCTTTTCCTTGTCAAATTGAATGTACTTGACTTGCCCTCCCTTGGCGATGATCTTGCCATCCGATTTACGCCTCAGCAGGCAATCCAAATAGGCCATTTTCTTGCCGGCCCTTACAGTATTGCAATCGATTTCAATAACCTCTCCAGGTTTGGCCGCCGCAATATAGCTGACATTCAAATTAGCCGTAACTCCAGGATGGGATCCTTAAAATATTTCGTTTATTTTAGTTTTAAATTGTTAGTACAAAATGAAATGTATGTTACCTTTCGACATGAGGGCGTATGTGGTGCAATTATCCACAATTGTGGCCGTTAGTCCGCCATGTAGTGTTCCCTGTCGATTCAAGTGCTCCTCGGCCACAGTGAACTCTCCCACGGCGCGACCATCGCCTCCACCAGTGATTTTGATCTGTGGATAAAGTTTTAAGTTATTTTTAAAAAACCTATTACTCTCTTAGTTTCATAATTCTGGAAAATAACTCACAGAATTATATACTTTTTAATATACTTTTCACTATAACAGATTATAACCGGTAAAGCAATCACTAAAATAAGAGTTAAACTCATGGAACTTAATAAAGTAGTATTATAAACTATTTCAAATCCATTAAGAAATAGTTTTAAATATGTAATTTTAAAATTTCTACGGGCCTCCAAGAGAGATGGGCATTTCAAAGTCGTACTTATCGATAGTAAGCAGCCATGTTATATAATACCATCACTGGCGGCAGAGTCAGCTGTTTTTCTTCTTCAATTTGTTGCACTTATTGTTTATAATCTCACCATTCTCAAGACTCTGTCGAATCCGTTGTGCCCGCTGGCGTACTCGGACATCTGTTTCACGAAGTCCTTAAAGAGAAAACCGCAGTTATTTGGGAAACTTCATGGTTCTACACGGAGTCCTCACCATTCCAAGTTTTTTGGTTGCCATTCCGCTGGACTTTTGATTCTCAACTAAACTGAGCGCTACGAAATGACAAAAACTACTGAGGGAGAAATTTCAGACGGCGCCGAAGATGTCGGCAAATGTGAGTGTATGAGTGCTATATAGTCACACCAACACGGCAAAGATAGTGATAGCCGATTTTTCGATTTGTTTTGGTCGCATTATTCGCACCAACAAAGTACTTGAAAAGTAACTGAAATCTATCTGAATTTTTGTAAAGATAAAGTTTGAAATGTAATAGTAACTAAAACAGCATAATACTTAATTTAAATAATAATCTTTATTTCTCTAAAAAAATTGACCTATGTTTAAACATAGTGTTAATTTAATTAATTAGTACCTCAAGTTATAGAAATGTTTAATAATACAAAGATGATATGCTTATATATTAAGATCTATATTCAATAAGAAATTTGTAAATTGTTTAAAGATTTTAATGTAATATCACTAGCAAAAAAGTTTAAAAAATTATACATTTTTTAATTTTGTTAAGATTCTGATCTAATATCTAAAAAAACTATAATAATAAGCTAGTATCAAATATTTTTTTAACCCTATAAAATAAGGTTTTTATCAATTGTGTATCATAATCCTTTTCTAAAAAACTTTTTACTAATATCCTTCATTTTATTCCCTTAGCTAATCTGGAATTCCCGGTCCTGGCCAAAGGATTCGTTCGTCAGGACTCCGTACACGACTTTGTAAACAGCCATTCGGTCAAGGATTTCGTGGCCCTAAGTGGTTCCAAATCGGATGTGGTTACCCTGGAGTTGAACAGCAAATTCATGGTCGTGGATCCCTTTCCCTATTTTGTATCTGTCTTGGATTCCAAAGCTGAGGAACTGCGACCCCTGGACGCTTTGGCCAACCAATTGAATCTGGTGGCCATATACGATAGCTGTGATGTCCTGGAGGCCCAGCATTTGTCCCTGGATCCGGGCTACACGGCTGTCTGCTCGCTTTCTGTGCCACCTGCAAGATTGGTGGCTGTTAAGGGAGCACCCAAGCTGCTAGCCAATGGACATCTTCTACTCGGCTCGCTTAATACCTATGGTTCCCTGAGCCTGATGAGCAAACCCGCCGAGTACAGCCGCTGGAATCGACTGGAGGATCTGAATATCGCTGTGCTGCTGAGGGATAACCTGCTGCCCGCAATGGACATGTCCAAGGTGACGAACTTTAAGAAGTATCAGGCGCTTATAAATCGCGCCTGGATCACCATGTTTACTTGGTTGCCGGTTGAATCGGAGGCTGTTTTGATCCTTGGAACCGCCTCTGGTAGTTTGTGGTTGCTCACCCTGAGCCACGATGTGAAAAGCGTGGTGAGTCACCGACAAACGGACACCTCGCTGGGTCGCATTTGCTACCTGCACGTTTTTAAGGACCTTCTCCTAGTGGGCGATATCAATGGACTCATTCATCTCTATCACCTCTCAACACAAGCTACTTCTGGACTGTCTTTAGCCAAACCCTTGTGGGAAAAGGCAGATCGCCTGGGCTTGCAAATGGCAGTGATTACCGAATGTCCCGCCAAAGATTGCTATTACATCACCTGCTGCAAGGCGGCGCATCTGCTAACCTGGTGCTTGCCAAGATCGGCGGATAAGGAGTATCAGTCAGCAAGGCTCTATATAGGCGGTGGTAAAATCACAGGACTCTGCAGTTTAGACAACAGTAGCTATGTGGCTGGAACCGCCAGCAGCTTCTTGCAACGCATTCAAATCGAGAACGAGAACAACCAGTTGAGCCTAAGGATGCAGTCGATATTAATAGATGGTCTGCAGGACTTTCAGGTGATGGGACTCTCCGCCAGCAGGAACAAGAACCTAATGACCATGTTTCTCTACCGCAACAAAGAGTACTTGTGTGAAACTGTTTCCCAGAAGCAGCAGTTGGTTGTGCAAGTGCTGAAGGTGGGCAAACAGGATGCCCTGGAACAGCTTAGTACCTTGAAAACCAATGAACCCATTAATAACCACACAGATTTATTGACTGAACTCCGTCTTCATGTTTTTGCCGAGGAGAATTGGCAGAGATACATGGACTTTGCTCCATTGGATTCGTTTCTCTTTAAGGAGGAGGCCACTGAAACGGAGCTTCAGCAGCTGCAACTCAAGTACCATGTGCTTCAATCCGTTCTTCACCTGCAGTCGGGTTTGCTCCAGCTTACAGTTCACATAAAGAACACCCAGGATGAAATGCAGCTGCTTCTGGCGATGCTACTCATCACACACGTGAGACTTAGGCTGCAGTTTCTGGGGTTACTGATTCAAAAGACGCCCTTCCAAGAGCAGGTGATAAAATGTATGTTCGAGGAAGCCCAACGAGTGATAAACAAACTAAAGGCTGAGTTTACTGAGGACCATGTTTTGGGTGCCACCAGCAAAGTTTTTGTGGAGCAAATAGAAACACATCTACAGGTTTTGCATAACAAACTGGGAAATCCTGTAATAGCTGATGATCCTATGGAGAAGCTACCTTTGCGCTGCATTGTGTCCTTTATGGAGGTAAGAATTAGAGCCCTGCATGAATAGATTCAATGAATTCTTTTGAATTTTTTTGGTTTTATATGAATGAATTAATTAGAATTTTGAGTTTAATAGAATTGAATGAATTTGAATTTTGAGTTTAATACAATTGAATGAATGAATTAGGTAAGAATTAGAGCCCTGCATAAATAAATTCAATGAATTCTTTTGAATTTTTTTTTATATGAATTAATTAATTAGAATTTTGAGTTTAATATTATTATTATTATAAAGTGTTCGACTATAATTTAAAATTTACAGACGAACTTAAACTTAGCTATAGCTACGGGACCTTAAGCTATTAAGTTTAATAGAATTGAATGAATGAATGGCATGAATTCCGAAATAAATAAAACGACAATTTCTTTTGAAGAAGAAAGGGCCATAATTTTGTGATTAAATCTGCCTGAATTTTATTTACTATGCAGTTAAAATTAATTTGTTAAAAATGTTCCACTTTTTGTTCTCAAAAGAAAGCACAAAAAAAATCTGTCAAATTCATAAAACCTATTAATTCATTCATTCAGTTCGAAATGAATTAGAAAAACATTCAATTTATTTCACATAGAATTGAATAAACAAATCAGAAATTTCATTTGAATGATTCACGCAGGGCTCTAGTAAGAATTTACTTTTATGATGGTAAAAACCTAACTCTAATCCCTTTAAAGATCTCCCCCAGCTTGGAGCGTCGCTACTGCAGCCTGTGCGAAAGACCAATCCTCTTCGAACTGGAAAACCTGCAGGAACTCTACGATTCCGACAGAAATCTTACATGCCCCGTTTGCCGTGGAAGCTTCGCCGTGGAAATTTTAGTTACATAAACGTTAAATTTATTCTCAACCTTAAACTATCAAGCTTTTTTTGTTGTGCCTGTGTGTCTGCCTCTAAAAGCGGAGCAAGTGAATCCCTCTCACTCGGCCACTAGAAGCCAACACACATTAGATTATTAATTAATACTCGGAAACATAGATAATGGGAGTGGTCTCGATGAGCAGAATATCCTGCTCCACCTGGCGCAGGTCCGATTCCAGCTTGCTCTTGCGCTGCCGCTTGGCGATGCTGTCGATGAGCAGCGACATGGACTGATATTGCTTGGTCATGTCGGTGAGGCTCAGCCGCAGGCCCTCTAGGATTTCATTGCGCTCCGGCTGAGCCATCACCCGCATTCCCGGCATCGGTGGGGGACCTCCGAGATCCACGGAGGTCCTGGTGAAGCCCTTAATGCCACGGCAGAGCTCCAGCAAACGTGCCTGTTCCTTCGAACACACCGCATTCATGTCGGCCAGCATGCGCTTGGTTTTCTTCAGGTAAACTGGAACCTTGCCGAAATCCTTGCGGCAAATAAACTGCGGCACGAGCCCCGAATTCAGTAGATTGTGACGAGTGCCCACGGGAGTGTCTATGTAGCGCGGTGGCGGTGGACAGGGAATGGTCTGTGCGGCGCACATCTTGTTGCGCTTGATGAAATTGGGCGCCAGGTTCGCCTTGTGGCCACCGCTGCCGGGTGGTGGAAGCGGGGGCATCGGCGGCATCTTGGGACACTTGTGGGTGTTCTCGCGCCGCCACTTGATGCCCTGATTCTTGCGCAAATAGGCGCACGGCGGATCGATGGGAGTGTGGGCACAGCCCATGGTGCGATGCAGCGATTTCTTGGCCTCCGTGAGGACGCGAGTGCCATCCGTCTGCAGGACAACCGACAGCTTCTTGTCCTCATCGTTCAGGCGTTCGCGCAACTTCCTGGCATAATTTGCGGCCCGCTCCACAACAGCTTAAAAAAAAGAGTAAATTAATATATAAAAGAAAAATCCTTAAAAAAATATCCTCACGATTCTTGTAGACAAAAATGGATTCCCTGGGTCCTTGGGCCTTCTCAAACTCCTGCTCACAGCCGAGAATATTCTCATCGTGATGGGTGATATAGACCAGCGACATTGTGGCAATGCAAATATATAATAAGGTTGAAGGTAAAGAACTCTAAAGCGTACTAGTTTACTGACTAATCCGTATAATAATGACCGTTTGTTTGGTGGCGACTACTGCGTTGCCAGGATTTTCTGGGCTAACTTTGTTTCAACTCAAAACAAAGGTTGCTATGGTAGTTTAAAAACTTTTCAAACCACTGAAATTCAATATTCGTTCTAGAAACCTGGGTTCGGAAATTGACACACATGTTCAAAAGATGAAAAAAAACACGCTGTGTAAAAAACACGTCGTGGTAAAAACACGCTGTGTAAAAAATAAGTCGAGTTAATAACACGTCGTGTAAATATCACAAATGACATGTGTGTGTTATTTATGTTTCTAACATTTGTAGGATACAATTTTTTACACACAAGTCAATAACTTTCTTTTAACCTAGCTTTTTTACATTTAGCATGTTATTAAAACACAGTTTTTTACAGTGTGTGGTTTTTTACGAACCCTGCTAGAAACCCTCGTTTAACTTTTGGTATTAATGTATATATATTTTCTTTAAAGCACAAAATCAAGCTACAGCTTGGGTCGCACACGTGTGTTACATTTATAAATTGTAAATAATTTGTTACCATATAAAATTCGTGTATATAAATATTTCGCTTGCGTGTATAAAATAACTGTTTTGCATTGTAAAATTAGCACTAAGATCGTTTGTCATGGTTACATTTTTTTTTTGATTTCGGAAGCTTAACAATTAGACATGGAAGTGTTGGAAGCACGATTTAAATACGAACGACATGGATTCAGATACGTTACGAGAATTACAGACTTACGAGCTAGATATGTGGATAAATGGGCTGTGAATTTGACGACAATGTTTTACGAATGTGAAAGCCACTCGGAATTTGCACTTTGTTTTTGTTTTTGAATGGGGAACTGGCTGAGAAGCTGATCCCCGATAGGCACTACAAAAGTTTTCGAATCCTCTGTCCTTATTGCACGTTGTCATGTGTGTTCTACGATTCACTTGTTGCCGCTGCTCTCGCGCTCCTCGCGAATCCTCTTAAATGCCTCCGTCTTGACAAAGTCCACCGATCGGTAGACCACGCTACTCGGCACCGGAGCCGCCCGTGCTCCGCCTCCGCTCTCGACGCCAGCCAGTCGCATTCCACTGGCGGCGTTTCCTCCCTGCGAGTACAAATTACCCACACTCATGCTGGATCTATTCAGCAGAGGCGGTTTGTTAGTCACATCCAGATCGAAATATTGCAACTTGTGCTCAGCCTGCGCCGCTGGTTGCTGCTTGGATGCAGCTGATGCAGCAGCTAAAGCTCCCATGGCCGCCGCTGCCGAGGCGGTGCGCTGATGTTGCACCGACATGCTGCCGGGACTGTTGGGATGCTGCTGCCGATGCTGCTGGCGCGGCAGAGTGCGGGTCTCGTGAAAATAGGCATTGGCAGCCGGCGAATGGATCTCCGTTTCATGCGGCAGCACCATGGAGAGTGGGGCCCCCGAGGAGCGTCGCGTTGCCGGCGACATGGTGACCGAAGTTCCCAACTTGTAGGCATTCGGCTTGCACTTTCTGTCCACACTGGGCGGGCCAATCGGCTGCTGCTGCAGTTGTGCCGCTCCCAGTTTGCTGGTTAAATGCTCCACGCCCACCGGCGGCTTGGCCGGAAATTCCTCCGGCGGTTTGTCCTCCACGGAGGGTAATCCTCCCGTCGCACCTTTCGGCTTCAGCTTGCGATTGACCGGCGGGCAGTCGGCCTGCTCCATGAAATCGTAGCGAAACACATTGCCCTCCATCTTGGTGGGCGCTGCATTGGTGTAGCAATGCCGGGGCAACGTTCGAGCACTGGTGGGCGATGAATTGGCCGTTGCGGCGCCACCGGGATTCGCTGCAGTCAAAATGGCAGTTGGCAAATCGCCGGCGGCCATGAGATTCGGTGTGGAGGCCGCAATGGGATTCGAGTTGTGCGGACTGGTCACAGGTCGCTCGCCCAGCAGCTGGTTGACATTGTAGTACGGTTGCTGGTGGGAGCGTGGAATGTCGTAGCTTTCCTCGATGAAGGCCGAGTGGGCATGGCGACGGGCCACAATGGCCGGCGAAGTGTTTTCCGTGTCCGACAGTTGAGGCAGATCTCGGGGAATTCTGTTATAAAACATAGTAACTATTAGTTAAGTTATAGAAGGATTTGACTTTCACTCACTTTTCATTCTCCTTGAAGTCCAATATGAGATTATTTTTGTTCTTCAGCACCTTGGCCAGCTTGTCCAGCGTTCCTTGGTCACCAGCTTCTGCCAGAGATGCGGCTCCCGGTAGCTTGGTATGCTTATCAGTCGGAGGAACTATGGATCCTCCACCTTCCTCGGGCATTTTAGAGAAACGCTGCGAGTAGGTCAGCACAAAGGATTCGTTCTCAATGGAACTATCCGAGGGTCGGGTGCTGCGATCCACATTCTCGCGCAGGGGCAAAGGATGGGCCCACTCGTCGTCATCGGTGAAAACGCTCTCGGAATCCGAATCTGAACGCTGTTTACTAGCATTGGTGCTGGCCAATTGTTGCTAAAAGAACATAACAATAGTTAATAACAAATAAATATATATATAAACCTATTCCTCCCACTCACCAGACTCAAATTGGTGATCTTCGGTGAGTACGACTGATCGTTGGTCAGATTCAGACCTATGTTGTTATGACTTCGCGGCGTATCGTAAAACTTGGGGTCCAAGTTGTTCAGCGGCGTGGTGGGGTTGTTTGGTATGGCTACATCGGCACCGGGAGTTCCACTTCCGGGCAGGAATCGCGGGCTGCCCGAGAAGCACTCGCTGATGGGTATATACGGTCCGGAGGCGGTGCTCAAAGCGGGCGAGGCCTGTACGCTGCTGTGTTGCTGGGCCGCAGCCTCCGCGAGGGTTTGTTGCGTGAGCACCAGATGCTCGGGTAGCTTACGCACCACTCCATTGGCGTTTACAGCTAAGCGAGCCTGCTGCTGTTGCTCGGCGGCTGCGGCTGCTGCCTGAGCTTGGATCAAAGCACTGTGATTCAAATAGAGCGCTGTGGCCGGCGATGGAGGCGGCTGCTGCTGGGCAGCCGAGAGCAGATCCTGCTGGTCAAAGTTGGCATCGCAGAGCATCGTCTCGCGATTGCTGTACTCGGTGTTGACATACACCGAGTCCGAGTTGTTGTTGCCGGGCAGCGAGGGCAACGGTTGCTGTTCAATGACCGCCGTGCGTCGCAGCTGGGCCGCTCCTCCAGTAACTTGGGCCGCTGTGGTTCCAGCGGAGGAGTGCAGCGAAGTGGTGGTCGTATTTTGAGTGGAGTTGCTCAGCCCGCCACTGGAGCTCGTGTGCTGGGTGCGGTTTTCATCTACAAACAAGAAATAAATATACATTAAAAGGGGGGAAATTTTAAATTAAATCCTATGTAGACCCACCTGCACCCACTGCTCCCAATGGCAACTCATTCGACTGCTTGGTATCGTGTAGATGACACACCTGGCAGATGCAGTTCACCCAATCGCGCATATCCGCCTCCGTTTCGGCAGCCAAATAATATGTACGCTTGGGCGTCTTGATGTCAAACATGTACTGAAACTTCTGCTTGCGATTCTCCAGCCGCAGGCCGCAGTCCACCTGTTCGCATTGATCCAAATCGATGACGCCCTTCAGCTTGCGACAGTTGTGGTCGGTGTAGTATTCGAGGCAGAACTGCTCCGGTATCTCGCCCTGCTTCAGCGTGAACCAGCGACGCCTCCAGCGCTGCAAAAAGATAAATGGGGGAAAAAGGGTGTAAGTAAGTAAGTAATGAAGGATGGTAGAAGGGCCTGAAAAACCAGAGTTCTTAAAGTCTTTAAAAAGGCCTCTTTTACAGATAAGAGACTTGCTTAATAGTTTAATGTACCATATTAGGTCATGGCATTTATTTTAATGAATTCTACCGTATCATGTCTATTTTATATTTGGGTATTACCTAAATTTGCAAAACACTTGATAGTATTTATTTTGTTGTTTCTTATAAAGCATAGAACATAAATAGCGCTTTTATGGCGTTTATCACTAAAAATTCCCCCTTTCATTTGAATTATCAGTTTTATAAGAAGCAAAGCTAAATGAAAAGGGGATTTACAGTTTTCATTTTTATTATGTTAGTAAAATTATGTAGTAAAATTAAGGCTGTTTGTGATAACTTAGCAAGATTACATTCCCAGTGGAAAAATCTATTTATAATTCTAATCTTTCGTACATCAAAAGATGATGACCAACTTATAGAGATAATTAGTCATCTGCTCAAAAAACAATTTGAAGGCATGGCATAAATAAATGTTGTTTTTTTTCTTTTGTAAAATGTTAAAACTTAATTCGTAGAATTTAAAATTCTAGCTAATAATATTGAAAATGTATTTTTCATTGGAAATCTAAATAAAATTCAAATGAATTTGAAACATACATATGAAAAGAATTAATGGACAAAAAAAAAAATATGGAGAGTAATCTTAATAATATATTATTTATTTTGAACACTTATCACGCTCACAAATACACTATTATTATTGTTATAATTATGTGAAGTAATAAAAAATACCTTGGTAGTATCGGCTATAAAAATATTTCTTACGATATGCTTACAGAATGAGTTGGAAATAAATGTTCACCACGAGTTTAATATTGTTTGTGTTGTGAATTAAGATACCCTTATGGATGGTGATATGGGGGTAGAGTCCGGCTGATCAGCTCAACGACTGACTATACTATCTGCTTCAACATTAACTGGTGGTGAGTAAGCGGGTGATGAAGCCGAGTCAACAGAGACTGCAGTGGCGGCGCTGCTTTTCCGCGAATCATATTTTGCATTGACATTTTCTTGGGTAATCAGCAGACAAGCACACACACACACGTCAACGAATCAACACCCCACGCCCACGTTACCGTTAAGTGATTGCCAAAACAGCTGGGTGGTTCGAAACCCGGCTGAGAACTGTAAACCGAAAACTCCAGCTGATAATGGATGGGTTTCTCCTCGGACTGTATAATATCACGCTTAATTGAATTATAAACAATAAACATAATGCCGCACACAAGCCAGAAATTGGCACCCCGAGGCGCTGGAAATACGCAGCTTATTTTCTTGAGGCATCATTATTGTTTGTTTATACAACGGTGCTCAAAATAATAGAAACGACAATGTAAGTTGCTATTTTTGAAAATGTTGAAGATGTTTTGTTTACATGCTTTTGGGGGTTCTTTGAAATTCTATTGTTCCCTTAAAATTTTAGATAGGATTTTTTTGATTGATAAAAAAATGAGATTTTTAACCTTGAAATATATTTTCTTTAATAGTCTCTATACTTCGTTGTATACAAATATTAATATTAAAAGATTTTGTAATGTAAGTGGCATTAATACTACTATTTTGACCGCTATTGCGTGACCAAGCAAAAGCAAACAAAACGAGTACAGTGAAACCATAAATTGGGTTTGTTGTAATTGAAAAATGCTGTATTGCAGACCTTTTGATCAACGTTTTGGGTGTTCTTGGAACTTATCCATTATAAGTGGTTTCAAATGTACGCACTAGAGGTGGGCGCGTGAGCAAGGAGTCGTGTCACGAAGGTTTTAAGAATTTTAGAAATTTAATAATTATTTTAGGGTAAAAATTAAATATATCAGAAAGCGTAGAAATATTAAAAAACATTTTTTCTAATTTTTAAGGTATAAAAAACTAGTTTTTAAACTATAACGTGACACGAATCATGTGCATCTCTAGTGAAAGCAACTACACAACAACAAGGATCTGGAAAGACAAGTGCGTCATTGTTTTTGTGCCTCCCGTTGCTCATTTTTTTTGTTTTTCTGCTTGATCCGATGTGGCTTATCGCCTGTGGGCATAAAAAACAAGCTACATATGCACATAAAAACATACATACAAATATGTACGTACGTGTGTACACGAATTACGGGAGAAAATAAATTTGATTAAACGCAACAGTTGGCGGTAATGGTAATTTAATACACAAACGACTCCCCAAAGTAAACATTAAACGGAAAATTAATTAAGCGTAAATTTAGACCAGCGCCAAAAACACGTTCCCACGCCAAGGCGAAAAGCAAACATAAACAGAAAGAGAGTGGGAGGAGGAGGAGGAGAGGATGAAGAGGAGAAAGAGCAGGAGGAAAAACGCAGCGCAGAGGAAGAAGCCATCGTAAAATTTCATTCACATTTTCGCAATTTCTGCTGCGGTTTTCTTTTCAGCTTGTTTGCATTCCAATCGACTGGAATAATGGCAACGCAAATCCAAATCCCTCGGCTTAATAATGAATTGAATTATACCACAAACAACAACGGCAAACAAACACTCACACACATGCACACACCAATACAGGCTTAGTGTAATTGTAAAAAAAAATGCCACTTCCATTATCCATTTCTTTTTTTTTATCTTTTCGTGACTCAATCGATGGACACAGATTACGGTAATTCTCTTCCGGCCTTAGGTTTACCGTTAGCCAATTGCGGTTTTCTTTTCTCTTCACATTTCACTAATCACTTGGAATTTCTGATTCGATTAGATTGGAATTTTTTGAGCTGGGATTTCCAGGAAAATTCCTTTGGACTTGTGTGGGTTTTTCCCGTACAGTACAGAAGTTTCCCCATTTCGGGGCTTCCTTGGGGCGAAACTTACTGCTCGCCAAATGCGCTTGGTGGGCGGCGACTTAATTAGCCAGCCTTCGTAGAAAGTGCGATCCATTATTTTGCAGCGCTCGGAAATTACTTCGATTTATTTTCACTCCGCGCACACCAACAACATTTAGGCTGACCGTTTGGGGGATTTCTTTGAATACCAAGCGGTGGGACCGTATTTAGCAGGTTGTTAAATACCGAATACTAAAGTTAAGATATTTTTTAAAGACGATTAAAAATTTAAAATAATTATGTGGTCTATAATTTGCGTAGAAACACGTTGTAAGCAAAATAATACTTTAAAATACTTGAGCAATTTATCCATTTAATTTACATACATTTTTAAATCAAGAAAAAAGCTGTTTAAAGTTTCAGATTTGTTAATGGAATGTATGTTTCTTTAAAAATTATTTTCTCTAATTAATTGGTTAGTTAGACAATAAATTTTTGTACCACAGAAATCAGATTTAGTACGATTTTGTATTTTTAGTTAATTAATTTAAATTGCAAAGAATCTTAGTTATTTATTCTTTCTTTTAATTATTTATAAATTTAAATTCTACTATAAATTGAACGTAACCTTTTTTATGGAACTCGTTTCTCGTAATTTAATCTAGTCAATATACAAAAAAAATGTAATCTTCTAATTCTAAATTTGTAGTTTTTTTAGTACGTCTTCGATTTGTTTATCTCTATTAAACATAGCCATATCATAATATTAGTTCAGTTCTGAATATTAATATAGCTCTTTATTTCCCAGCTGAGCTTTTCAACAGTTTTTACAAATATAATAAATAGAGCTTACACAGTTCTAACAAACTTTTAACCAATTAAAACCCAACCAAATAAAATTCAGAAATCCAATCATAAATATTTTTTTACAAATAAGTTTTATTCCGCCGTGTCAAGCGTATGCCTACAACATACAGATTTTCCATGTAGAATAGCATTTTCCCCGACAGCGCCGCGCAGAGGAGCACAGCGGCCACTATCCAGATCTCAGGCGGAACCTGCGCCACGCCGGAATCCTGCTTCAGCCCGGGCTTACTTGTCCTTGCTGTCGCCCTTGCCACCACGGATCCTACCGGTGCGACGGGCGGCGATGAGACCGACCTTGCGACCGGCGGAGGTGCCTCGCTTGACGGTGGACGCCTTACCGATATGCTGGTGGTTACCACCACCGTGGGGATGCTCCACGGGGTTCATGGCCACACCACGCACCTTCGGCCAGCTGTTGCGCTTGACCTTGTACTTGTGGTAGGCACGACCGGCCTTCAGGATGGGCTTGTCGATACGACCGCCGCCGGCCACGATGCCGACCATGGCGCGGTTGGCCGAGGGCACGACCTTCTTGGCGCCGGAGGGCAGCTTGACACGGGTCTTCTTCGTGTCCTGGTTGTGGGCAATCACGGTGGCGTAGTTGCCGGAGGTGCGGGCCAGACGGCCGCGATCGCCGGTCTTCTCCTCCAAATTGCAGATGATGGTACCCTCGGGCATCTGGCTGAGGGGCATCACGTTGCCGATCTGGAGGGTGGCCTTGCGACCGCAGTAGACGAACTGGCCGGTGTGCATGCCCTCGGGGGCGATGAACAGCTCCTTGCGGACCTTGTAGCGGTACGGGTCGCGGAAGTGGACGACGGCCAGGGGAGCGCCGCGGCCGGGATCGTGGATGATGTCCTGGAAAAGGCAAGGGGCGAGTTTTAGTTATGTATAGTATAAAATAGGTATTGATAGTAATTATTTCGAAATAGGATAGATAGTCTTCGATGGTTATTTCTTGTAACAAAATAAAAAATAAACGGCAAATATGAATAGAGGGAGTTCGGAACATGAAAAAAGAAAATAAATTTAAACTAATACCATTTTTGTTACCTCTTTGCATTGGGATTCTTAAACAATTTAACTTAGATATTACTCTATTGGACATACCAAATAGGAAATATGAAGATATGAGTATAGATTTTCTAGTTTTACTGCAGACTTAGATCTTCCCACCAAAGTCGAGCAATAAATATGTAAGAAATATGTATAATATGGAAACCAAACGTGGATATTTGATTTATGACTGTTAGTAGTAAACTAGCTATTACTGAGACACTCTATATATGAACTATCTAATGTGGCTTTATAGGACACGCAATGATTGGGTTCTCTAGCAAGTTGAGGGAACATTGTATTACTAGTTCTACTGTAAAATCTGCGGAAGATATTAAAAACGCTTGTTTATGACATTTTCAAAAACACTGAACACTGATTTGAACTATCTGATGTGGCAATTGATAAATCTACAAACTGACATTGGATATGCCTCAACTCTAGCTTCTTTGGGGATGCAACAGATGGGTATATCTTGGAACTCGAGGTCTACCTAGGATTACTAGTTACCCTGTAGTTCTAGCTCATCTCCGAAAGGTAGAGTATAGCCCTTACCTTGACAACTCCCCGAATGTAGCCGGAACGCTCGGCGAAGTCCAGGGAACGCAGCTTGGCGGCTCCCTTGCGCTTCTTCACGTGCGCCTTGAACACGGAACCAGCGCCCTTACGCTGTGCACGAATAACGCGACCCATTGCTGCAAAGTAGAAATTCACGAGATTAGTAATCCGAACTATGGAAATACACTGTGCAAAATGCTAGATTTTCAATTAACGCCCGTCCATCGCAACACGCCACGAAATATGGGGTAAATCAAGCGCCACCTTTGGAGGTCTTATCATTTCGGGTGACATTTTTTTTGGATGTTGCGATAAATGTTGTTAAATTGACCGATTTTTTTTTGACGGATTCAATACAAATTTTTTCCGCAGCGGATGTTTCGTACCAAAATTTCGTTGGAAAAGAAAAGAAAGAGAGGGAAGATGTAGTGTGACAGTAGGGGTGCGCGAAATTCGATAACTTTGCCCTAACAGCACGCTGTTAACAGCACAAAAGTGCTGTTAAGCGCAATGGCGTCGCCACTTTTTCATTCAGTTAGGGTATTCTCTGAACTGTTAAATAGCCAAGTTGTTGAATTTCTGTCAGCAGTTTATCAACTGCTCCGTACAAATTAAATTTTTCAGAAATTTTATCCATTTAAAAGTTTTTGGAATACTCTAACTGATTCGAACGGATGACAAAGTGGCAACGCCATTGCGCCTAACAGCACAAAACACCGTACTTTTACAGCGTGCTGTTAAATCAGAGTTGTCACCTTATTTTATGTAAAGCATTAGCAAAACTGTAAATGAAATTTAGAAAGTATATTTGTAATTCATAATTTTAAACAGTAAAAAGCAATACAAAATACAATTTCAAATTTATAATGTTGCGTAAAATTTCAGATGTAACACCTTAATTGCTCAAATTTTCTTTTGAACTTTCAACACGTGGCAATACCCAGAGAAATTCAACAGTTTAGGGAATACCGTAAACTGAGTACTAAGCTTTCATTGGAATTCATCCGCTAAATCTGGTATTTTGTTGGTATTTCCTTACCTTTTCGTAAGCTTATCTGAGTACCGCGGTGAATTAAGTCAGCGGCTAAAGGCTTTAGCTACCTATTTGCCTCTTGCTTACTCCTATGCTTAGCTAGCAGTTTTCGTCGTACTGAGTACTATGTAAGCCATATAAATACTAATTTAATACTTACATGATTTTAGCACGAAGAGCTGGCCACACTGTCCAGCGCAGACAATGTAAGCTTTGGGACTTCGTGGAAGACTCAATAACGGTAACACAGAAAATATATTTTGAAAAGCATTTTTCCCTAGCATCAAAGTTCAGTCGTCAATGCCGGGACTGAGATTAACACTATGAACTTTTAAGTTTTTCCTAAGATGAGGCATTTCAGATAAGAAAAGTAAATAAATTAATTAATAGATAAATAAAAAATAATAATAAAAATAATATACACATATATAAAATAATTTGTATAAATTCACTTTCTTGGCATATATCTAAAATTTTTATTCTAGGCCTTTTGTGGGTTTTTATGTGGTTCCTTTCCTTGCAAACACAGCAAGAAAGGACTTTATCGCAACTGTGTTTGGCGACTTGGGCTGGCTTTAGAAATAAAGTCATGCACCATGTGACGGTGCTTCTGCTGCGTCCTGAAGAGCAGCCTGTCCAGCTTCCTTCTGTCCTCTGGGGAGACGCTGGCCTTGCCGATTGCCTTATTGATGGCCAAGCTGAGGGATCGAAAGGCTGTTTATTGCGTTGCCCGCTCGACAACTGGGAGCGTCGCAGCTATTTCATTGGCAATCCTTGCCCGCTCCCCCCTGTTAAGAGCTCCTGTCCCGCGTTGATCTGTTCCGCCTCAATTTGCAGCCAGGAAGGCTATTTATCTGCTGCTGCCTCCAGATTATCGGCATCTGCATCCTGCCATGGTGGCTGCAGGATCATTGAGAGCATGGCCGCTCTGCGGCTGGGAGCATGGCATCCAGCTCGTTGGCGATCCGTGCCCTCTCCACACGGTTGAGAGTCCCGCGTCCTCGTCCTTCAACAGTCCCGTTTGCCCGTTGACGTTGAGGTCTTCCTCGACTTGGAGTCCCTCCGGTTCCCCCGCGGCCGCGCCACGAGGAATTTCTTCCTTTTCCAATTGCCTCCTCGATTGCCCCTAGGGGCTGCGTCGCCAATGTAAAATACGTACATCTACGGAATAATGAATAATTGGTATTTAAACTGGATTAAACATAAATAAATTGATGCATCAAAACATTAAAAGTGTTTCTCTAATTATCTGTGATTTATAATTTTTTTCTGATTTATCACCATTGTTTTCACTAAGAATACAGGAAATAACTACTTAAAATGGTACTTTCAAAACCGGGAATACCCGAGCAATTAAACAGTTTGGGGAATACCGAAATTTTAAATACTACTTTAGTACTTTAGAGCTGCTAACACAGAAAATATTTGCCCAGAAATAGAATTAGGAACTATTCCAAACTTAGAAAAGCCAATTCTAAATAATTGGCTGCCTACAAAATTAGTTCCTGGCTTCAAAGGAACCAATTATAATAATCTTGAAGGAGTTGTAAAGAGTTTGAATGAATACGATAGAAATTGTGTTTTAATTTTTGACGAAATGAGTTTAAGACTCAAATTGTTTATAAGGCCGACGACCGAGCCATTGGGTTTGCCGATCTTGAAGACGGTCTATCTGCCAAAGACCAATATACATCCCCAGCCACTAAATTGATTGCTTTCATGGCGCGCGGATTATTATCCAATTATAACATTTTAGTGGGATCAATCCTTGTGACGAGTGTCAACCAACTCAAGGTGATTGCCAACTAGACGGAAAGCCTAGCCTGTCGAAATAGCCTGCCCAAAAGCTGGTCTTAAAGTACAGAGCTTAGTCTGCGACCAGAATATGTGCAACTCCCAGGCCTTACAAATAGTTCATATAGATACAGAAAACTTTTCAAATACCTCACGTATGACTGTCATACACGATTATGTCCACTTGTTTAAAAGTGCAAGAAATAATTTGTTTGGCAAAACGAGAAGTACAGGAACCACCACAACAACCTGCTCCGGCAGTCTTAGTGCCGGTGGTGAGTCCCAAAATCGTAGTCCCGGTAGGGAATTAAAAAATGGACGACTTGTATGTCGACAACTGTTCCAAATAACATTTGAAGCAGCGAGGAAATAAAACCGCTTCGTCATTACGATAGCACTTATCTTTAAAGTGTTTAAAGAACAAGAAGGAAGCAGCCTTTCAATCCCTCAGCCTGGCAGCCTGAGTTTAAAAATGAGTTTAGTTATTATCAAGGGGAAATATGCAGTGTAAAATTGGGCTATTCAAAGTAGACCCTTAGTGCCAGACTATAATAGCTGACATTAAAAGTAAAGTAATAGTTATTACTGGCGCTGTTATTGGAAAAATTTGCAAAGCACATTATAAAAATGTATTTAGCAATGAGAGTACAACAATAGAAAATAATCAGAATGATGAAGATACTTCAATTATTCAGACGTCTTTATAACTCTTGAAGATTCATTATTTAAAACAAAAAATACAGGAACTTGAAAATGAAGTTAAATCCCTTTAAAAAAATGCAAAATATACAACTGAGCAACAAAAATTATTTGGAAAAAAATAGTATTACAATTTCCAGTTATAGATTTAATAAAGAATATCAAAGACATTCAAAATTTAACTAAATTAACTATTTCCTTACAAAATATTAAAGTAAAAGACAACGAAAAGTTACATAAATATGAGAGTATAAAAAACAACTAAAAGAAATGTAAAATTGTACCCTGAACAGAATTTGAAGAAGAATCCAAAAATATTTGCCCAGAAATAAAATTAGGAACTATTCCAAATGCTGAAAAGCCATTTCTAAATAATTGGTTGCCTACAAATAAATTAGTCACTGGCTTCAAAGGATCATAAGGATCTAAAGAGTTTGAAAGAATACGATAGAGGTTGGGTTTTAATTTTTGACGAAATGAGTTTAAAGACTCATGGATAGAATAAATGCGAACGCAATATGCAGTAAATACAACTTGCACATGGCATGGCTTTGGCCAAGATCCGTCTTATAGAGAGTCTGAGCGAGAAGTGGATGCTGCGAATAAATAAAAAATAATAATTAAAGAAAAAAAAAATTGTCCAGCATTAATAATTAATTCTACCATAGAGTAAGAAACTATATAGAGGCACCATTTGCTCTGCCGCTCTCTTCGGCGAATTCGCCAATGATGCCACCTAGGCGAAAAACGAAAATTTCCCTAATTTTTCATATGTTCGATTCAAACATGCATGTTGGGCCCATGGTGAGTTTTATGGGATTTTATATATCTACACCGCTCTCACTCACTGTTTTGTTTTTGTATGTGGACTCTCACCACTATTGCTGTTGCTTCGCACATGTTGGATGCGGTGAGAAATCAATGTTCGCTTCGAACTTGGCCTTGAATTGGCTCAGCAGAGCTTGGGCAGAGGTTCGGGCAGAGCAAATGGTGCCTCTATATAGTTTCTTACTCTATGATTCTACTGGAGAGTTATTATCAATAACTACAATTATATAGTTGTACCATTAAGTCCAGAAGAGTGTGTGACCATACTCTGATTCTCTTCGGGGAATTCGCCAGTGATGCCATAGGCGATTTCTAACATTCACGTAGGACCGTACTCTGGCTTTAAATGGATTGTGTCGCTGCTTAAACTCAGCTGAGCCCCGACCCTTGGATTGGGACCCCGTTGAGTCGGCCAATATGGTGAGTTTCCCCCATAGTTTTTTAGTAACTTAAATTACTAACTAACTAAAATTGCCATGTAAATCGTAATCTGACTTGAATTGGAATCCGTGCGGTCGATTATTTTCTCATTGGATCTCTTTTTCACTCCATTTCATGCGCACTGTTCACGGCCATACGAAAACACAAGGAAAACAAGCCACTCAAATGTTAGATTCAACAGAACTTGAAATTTCTTACAAAAGCTTATTTTAGTAAAACTAAATGTAAGACCATTATATTTAAAAAAAAATATTTGGTGTTAAACTGATTAAACATAACTTACCGTCACAAGTTTTCAAGTTTTACCGCCAAGTAAAAAGCGTGGCCAGATGCTCGTACTAGAGGTGGAATCATGAAAACATCGAAAGTGATTCTCCCATTAATTATAGTGAAATTTAATTTATTTTGTGGGACATCACGATTGTTTTTGAATACCTTTAAATGATACTCTAAATGGTTCTTGAAATTGTTCTTAAAACGCTACTTTCAAAACCTGTAATTAATAGGGGGAGAATCATCGATGCCCCCACCGATGTTTCCACCGATGCTGCCACCTCTGAAAACAATATTATTATTTCATCGCCTCGGCTGAGCGGTCGATTACTTTCTCGTCGCGCAAAAGACAACACGGTTCGGTTCTGATTTAGATAGAATAGAGATTCACCGTTGCCGATTGTGCGATGCAAAAGCGATAGGCGCTCATCGCTGTGCGTGAAGAGTACGTAGAGCTCGAATTAACCGGGATTCCGGTGGCTAAAATCGCGAATCCTGCGCGAAAACGAAACGAAAATCGAAGTGGCAGATTTTTCTGTCTACCTACACAAACACATACGCAGGCTGTGCTGCTGCGCTGGTGTGGGTGTGCGATTGAGTGTGCGTGTGTGTGTGGTCTATCGGAGCGCCGCTAAATAAGAAATAATAATTGTGCAGTGCGAAGGAGGAGAAGAGGAGGAGCAAGCAGTGATGAATAAATGTTTTTAAAGGCGAAAAACGATTTTTAAAAGTGCTGGGGAATTAAAAAAGAGCCGCGCCCCGTTTGCCAAACGTTAACTAACACACACACACACAAACACTCCGTCACAAAAACACACACACACGGACGCAGTGGCGGAGGCACAAAAGAGACAGCGCGAGAGAGAGAGAGAGAGAGGAGAGAAGAAGAGCGAAGAAGCAAAAAGAGAAAAGTTGTATGACAGCAACAAATAGTTTGTTAATTGCACGGGTTTAGTTTTTTATTCGTCACTTAAACTTGAAGTAAATAAAATTTAAATTAAAATTAAATTCGAAATACAGATTACTTTTTTTTCGTTCTTCGCTCTTATTGTTGTTTTCCCCATTTCATTTGCATTTCTCCTCTCTCCTCCTCTTTCTGCGTGCGAAGAAGCAGCAGCAATTCTCCAGATCCAGAAGAACAACAAAAAATAGCAAATCAAAATGGCGCACCAGCAGCAACAACAACTGGCTCCATCGGTCAACTGTTCACTGGACGATATCGATCTGACGGCCCTAAAAGTGAGTCTATACATTGGGTTTATTAGAAATAGAAACCCCCTGTAAACAGAGCCCCAAATATTGCCCCCCTCCCCTTGCCCCACTCTCTGTTCATTAACACGCCTCGCCCGATTAACGGGAAAGTGACCGCCCCCCGTGATTATTATTATTCCAGGTGTGGTTCGTTTACACTCCAATTTCCGTTTCATAAAACTATTTACACAATCTAAAATGTTCCAGTATCGATTCGGTTTATAGAGCTAAATCAGTTTTTTATAGAATGCTATTTTATTTATCCCAATTCAAAACTTGTTTAACTTGAATTAGTTAAAAAGAAAAAAAAAACAAATGATAAATTTTTATCTCGAATCCTCAAAGCATAAATCTAGCTTATCTTCTTTCATGTTTTTTATAATTCAAACTAATTGGAGTGACTATAAATTTAGCATTCTTCATCTATCAGCAACTCAAGTAAACTACTAAATATAAATTATTTAAATGTTTGCGTAATTCCTCGATGCCTTTTTATATACAAAAGAAGTTAAATCGTTTAAAATTAATTAAAAAATTGTTTAACAATAAAAGCTCTCCACTAATTATAGTAATTCCTGTTTCTTCAATTATTAAATTCTTTGATTACGTTTCTGTTTCTTTAGTTAAAAGTTGGATTGAAAAAAGAAAATAAAATTTATATTATATTTCTTTACCTTGATATCAAATATATCAATATATCAAAATTATAATATAAAAGTAAGATGAATTGAGTAAAAGCAAAATATTAAAAAAAAACAGTACCTGAGGATTGGGATTTTAAAACGAAAAACTCATAAAAAGCTTACAAATTTAACATCTCTTATAAGAAGTACTAAACATTAAAGCTTAACGATTCGAAAAGAACCCCCCTTGTAAGGAACTTTGTTCCATAAATACCCCAGAATATCTTATACAACCCGAACCGATTGGCCTTTGCAATCGTCAAACCCTTGAAGGTTTCCCCCGCACATTTATGCAAATTGTTTAAAAGTACAACAAAAGCGAACATTTTCTTTGTGTTCGTTGGTTTTTTTTTCGCACTTTGCCATGGCAACCAGAAAAAGCCTTTTTCCTTTCTTTTTTTTGCATTTCCACTCCCCCCATTTTTATTTCCCCTTTAAAGCAATCACAATAATAATCGAGTTGATAAATGCATATTGGCATTTCGATTTCATTGCCTGATAGAAGAAAGCCCAAAAAACCACCCAACTCGACGCCACCCACCCTATATTTTTTGTATGTGCGAGTGGTGTGCGCAACTTTTGACCGGCCGGTGTCATCTTCTCCGCTTTGCCAAGCTATTTTTTGTTTCGTTTCGTTTCTCAATGAATTTGTCGAGTCTTAACCCCCTTTTGGCCGCCTTAACCCCCACTAACCCCCCTTTCGCCCGCATCCACACGCACTGCCGCATGCGTTTGTTGCCTTTCTCTTTCACCAAACACTCACCACTCTCACCACTTTTGGTGGCGGAACGGAACTCACCACGCCCGCCGCCGGCCCCACGTTGGGCGCCATCTCTTTTGCCCTGCGCACCCACCGAAAGTGTGTGTGTGTGAGTGTCCGTTTGTTGACTCTGCCTGGAAGTAGAGGGGGTGGTGAAGGGTTGATGGGAAGTACGGGGTGGTGGTGGTGCTTGGGTCGTCGCCTCGCTGCTACGGCATGTGCGCCACTGAGGTTGTGAGTGTGCCCCACACATATGAGGCCAAAATATTAGTGTCTGTAAAAAGGGAATGTTCCTAAAAGCTTGATGAACCAAGTATAAATCGGAAATTATTACTAAGATGGGAAGGAAATCTCTAGTTCAGAATAGATTGATTAAAATAATATGAAGATCAGTTAAATATTCACCATATTAGTATAATATGGTTAAAAATAAAATGCATAAAAGTTATTTTCCTTCCCAAGATTATAAGCAATGAGGTCAACATATTTCACTAAAGACCATTGACTCATATGTGCTCCTGATTAAAGTCGTTGATTGTTCTCTTAATATAAAGATGAGCAATTTCCTCAGCTTAAGAAGCACTCGAATTGCTATTATTTTGGCCCCAGCTGTTTCATGTTCGTGTGTGTTTATGAAAAATTGTCCATAGTCGATGGCAGAGCGACGAAGACGAGACAAAAACGAGACAAGAATGAAAATTGTTTAGTTTACTTTATTAAAAGGCGGCAGGCAGAAGCGAGCAGAGCAACACCATGCGTGCTTTTGTATCTATGTGAGCCGCATGTATCTGTATTTATGTATTTGTATCTTGGCTGCAGCAGACAGCTTGAAGATGGCGATAATGTTGGATTCAAATGATAATGATGATGATGAAAATGATGATTAAGATGGAGCACACACACTGGCTGCCAAGGAAAATGACGACGAACCCAAAGCAAAATCAGCAAAAATGGCAGCAGGCATGAGAATATATGAATTGTGTGTTGTGTCTTCTCTTGTTTGAAGTGTTGTTTTTATTTTTGTTTGGCCTTCTCCTTTCGAGCGTAGGGGGGCGTGAAAGTGGGCGTGGGGGTGTGGAGTCCCGCCCGTCTGCATGTCTGCCACATTCTGCTGACCTGTCTGTGCGTGGCTTTTAAAGGTCATTAAACACAATGGGCAAAGGAGAGATGCGATAGCTGTGGAATGTCCCGAAATAGAAAACGAGAAAAGGTCAGAGTCCTTAAAGCTTTGGGTTTTCTTTCTTTCGCCACTCTGGCTCATGTTTTATGAGGCTTCCGTTCTGGTTTTTTCCTTCTTCAACCGATAAGAACTCCATTCTTCTCGTCCGATAAGATACCGCAAACTGCATTTCATCAGCAGCGAAATTGCATTAATTATTTCTGGTTTCTTCTTTACGACTCCCCCCGTTATTTATATTGCAGTGCAGTTTCTTTTATTCTCCCTTTGATAAGCATTCAAACGCGGTTTGTCTTCTTTTTAGTGTGGCTCCTACTGTGTATTTTACTCGAGCACTGAAAGAAAAACCGATTTAGAATGTGTTTATGGAACTTTAATAAAAAAGAGGTGCTTTTTCGAAAGAAATTTTAAAAGATTTTGAAGATTAACAGTTGTATACGTCCTGAAACAACATATAAATGTTGTTTCTAAAGAATTCGCGTTGGTATTTATTGGACTTTTAAGTAGTGCTATTTCTATGGTCGTTTCATATTTAAAAAGTCTCTTGTTTTCCCCCAGTGTGTGTTTATTTTAATCAACATTTATTGCATTTCGTTAGCTGCGATAAAAACGTGTTCGCCCACATTTGTTCGGTTTCCATGTGTCCGTCTGTGGTGCAATTTGCTCAGAAGAGTGGAAAAAAATCCACACATGTTTCAGTTTTTGTGGGTTAAAACAACATTGGCCCCGGGAAAATACATACTTTTTATAAAGTTCAGGAAGAGGCAGCTAGCGAGTGTGTTTATAGAAGCGAATTTCCCCAGAGTATTGGGAAATTATCTTCTCTATTCCATGTGGAAATTGGTCGGAAAAATTATCAGCTCTAATCAAAGTTGGCTTCATTCTGCTGATAGCCAAAATGTAGGTAAATGGGTTTTTTGTGACGTCAGCGGAGTGCATTTCTAATCGCATTGGCCACGCGACCCACACAAATTAAGCCACCAAGCAGACAGTTAGAAACACTGAGAGAAATATTATATATAATTTTTAAGGATAAATATAAATACAAATTAAATATTTCTGGATTAAAAATTACTAATAATTATATTACCGAGCATTAAATTCGATAGAGGTTTTTGGAATATGTTTTAATATTTAATAATATTTCCCTCAGTGGAGTCACTGAATCTGCATAAGCCAGAGCTCCATTGAATTGCATGGGCGTCCTAATATGCAGTCAGTCTTGTTTTTAGCCACTCTCCTGCTCTTTGCATTTTTTTAGCTGCTAACTGGGCCAAGCCTTTTTGTGAGGGGGAAAGGGGTCAAATGGAATGGCAGGGGGTTGGAGGAAGGAGGAGGGAGTTCTGCGCTTTTAGACAAACAAAACAAAACAAAACAACACAACGAAAATTCCAGTTTGCCAGGCCAAGCAAACTGTAATAATGAAGCAACTAACCGAAGAGACTAAAGGCGACAAACTTCTGGCTAAAGACAGTAGATTGTCGATAAGGAAAATTCGTTTGGAATTTAAAGAACTCAAATGAAAATAATCATTCGTTTAGTATTATATTTTTAACAATAGAATGGGATGATTAGAACACCAATCCTTTATTATAAAGTAGTATTTTTATAATTTTTTAATAGAACTTTTATAATCGTTAAGAAGTTTGGAAATACATTTTTAATAGCAAAACTTTAAGTTCTACCTTGAAACCTTAACTTTACAAATTAAATCTTGAGTTTAATGAATTCCCAAGTTCTTTAAACCAAGCTCCATTGTACCTCTAGCGTTTGCGTTGGTCCGCGACTCGATCTTTCGGCCTCCAACGGGTTGTTTAGTTTTAGTTGTACCCGTTTGGACAAATACAAAAACAAATAGCGGCCGGAGTAAAAACAACAACAACAACAACTAAAGTCAAACAAAAGGCATCAAAGGGGAAAGGGGTTGAGGGGTAGGGAAGGGGGGAGGGGCTTACAGGGGCACACATGTGGCGGCAGCTGGACAATTTCCAAAGAGAGCGGCAGGAATAAGCCAAAGTAACAACAACAACATCCGAACCAGCCTGTTTTGCCTGCTGGTAACTGATAACTGTAACCAAATCTACACTGTAAAAAAATCAAATGTAGCATCTGTGACTAGACGTTTACACTGAAAGAAGTTCCCAATGATTTAAATTATATGTGGAATTATAAGAATGCAATTTTTTGTAAAATATTTTATTTATTTTAACAAAACACACAAAATTAATGTACATTTTTATAAAAGATCTTACGAAAAATGATATTGGAAACATAAATATTTATTTTGCAAATATATTGAAACTGTTTCAAAAATAAAAGTATGAATATAAACATGACAAATATTTTTTCAAGATCTCAAAGTTAGGATTTTCATAACGACATACATTTATTTTTATGACATTTTCTCTCCATGTACGATCGTTGACCACCGTCTAGAATTTTTTTTTCTTCTAACGGCTACCTGTACAGGTATTCTCCTCCAAAGTGAACCACTCGCCCATTGCACTGCTCATTTGGTTGGTTTTCTTGTTGTTTTACTTTTTGTTTTGCTTAACATGTCAACGCTAATGAGTCATGGAGCGGTTGGAGCAGATACTTTTCTCTCGATTTTCTTTGTCGTTTTTCTCTCCATTCAGTGAGTTCATTTTTCGTGAATTTTTAATTGATTTTTACAACGTGAAGTAATCAGCCATAAATAGCAGTAATTGCCGCCGCACTCCCAGCATGTTTTTCCTTTGTCTCTGGGCTGTTTGTTCCCTCTTTTTTTCGGTTTTTCGCCTTTTCCTCTGCCTTTCCCTTTATCGCATGTGTTTGACACACTTTTCTGGGTTTCGAGTGGTAGAAAATGGGGCTGGGGGTGCAGCCATAAATCTACTTAAAGCGGCTTCCATAGTTCCTCAGCTTTTCCCTTGGATTTTCCCCTATTTGTTTATTTCGTGGTTTCTTATTTTACTTTTACTATATTCTTTTTTTTTTGCCTGTTGACTTTTTGTCTTTTTTGGTCTCTAATTCCTGAAGCTTAAGGAGCTTCCACGTTGGCGGGGTGGAAATTATGAAGAAATTCACCCTGTAGGCTGAAAAACTGCAGTTCCTTTGATGGGGAGATTAAAGATGAATAAAGCTGACAACTTATGATACGCCATAAATCAATCGTTTCAGGGTGTCAATAGTAATGTTTTGTTATTTGGTTTTGGCTAATACCATTTTCCTATTAATAATATATGGATTTTCCTTGGTCGCTTATCCCTTGTGAGAACTGAAACTTGTAAGACTTCAATCAACCTTCTTTCGATGAGTTCTTCTGCATAACTTGTTGGGGAACTTTTGCACAAACTGAATTTGGAGCAGTAGCTGCAGTTTACTAACTTCTCTTATCCACCTTTTCTTGCGGAACATCAATTGAATTTTACACTGAAACTAAAGTATTTCCAAATATTTATGAGATTAAACTTAGAATGATTTTTTATAATACTTTCTTATAATAAAAGAATGATATTTAATTTGCAAAGATTTCTTATAATACTTCATAGTAACAAAAATAGAATGATCTTGAATTTAAAAAAAAGTTCTTTATAATAAAAGACGGAATTTATAATATAGAAATATGTCTTATAATAAATATAGTCTTTAACAAGAGAGAACGCTATAGTCGGGTTCGTGTCCCGACTATCTAATACCCGTCACTCAGCTAAAAAGAGTGCGAACGCTGTGTCGGGTTGGTGTCCCGACTAATAATCGTAACTCAGCTAAAGGGAGTGCGAGGGAGATAGATATATGTTGACAATTTATAAAGCGTATAACTTTTTAATGAATGGTCCGATTTGAAAAATGTCTTCTACATTTCGATAGGTATAAATATACACAACAAAATTGCATTTATACTTCTCGGAAATCTTTAAAGATGTGGGCGCAGGACCCATTTTAAAATCGTTAGTGGGCGATTGTGGGCGTTAGAGGGGGCGTGGCGCTCGGCTAAAATAAACTTGCGCTGCGTAGGAAGCCAAAGAATATGTGTGGGAAATCTCAACCTTCTAGCTTTTGTAGTTTCTGAGATCTCAGCGTTCATACAGACAGACAGACGGACAGACGGACAGACGGACATGGCTAGATCGACTCGGCTAGTGACCCTGATCAAGAATATATATACTTTATGGGGTCGGAAACGCTTCCTTCTAGCTGTTACATACTTTTGCACGAATCTAGTATACCCTTTTACTCTACGAGTAACGGGTATAATAAATTAATTTAATAAATATGATACTTAGTTCATAGTTCATTTTAAGTATATATATTAATCAAAAAATTTAGGAACAATAATATTTACTCCCAAAATAGTTTCCTTCCTTATTTATAAGGCGTATGATATTGATATTATCTCTGTTACCCCAGGATAATAAGCCTATCAAAAGGCCATAATAAAATTCCAAGAATAGCTGAGAGCCTATTAAATCAATATTGATGGGGTACAATTTCTTTATGTGCGCCTCGTGGCTCTTAACCCACAACCTCTCTCGTACCTTTAAGCGTCAACTGGGGTTGTCAAAAAAGTCAGTTACCTGTTGAAAATGCCGGCGTTCTTGTTTTTGTTGTTATTTTAATTGGCATTTGCCTTACCTGTCGTTCTGGACGTCTTTGTAATCCCTTTCCCCCTTTTTCCCCTTTTCCCCATCACCTGCGTGCTCCAATAAAAATAGAAAGCATTGTGAGGACTGAGAACTGCCTCCTCTTTTATTTTTTCTGTTTTCGTGTCACGCCCCGTGTCACGAATTGCGTGTCAATGAACTCACATGCAATTTGTATGGCTTTTGGTATCGAGAATGGGCATGGAAGTGGGAAACCGATTCCGAATCGGAATTTGGAAATCGAGGATTTGTATTTTTAACGCAGTGGCAGTGCCCGTGCCTCTGCGGACTTGTCTCTCCTTATTTGTATTGTTATACCTTAATAATTTGTTTACAAACAATACGAAAAACAAAGAGAAATCGCTCTGCCTGGTTCTGGTTCGTGTTTAAAGGTTGTTTAAGTGCTGCGGGTTCCGAAAAAACAAGAGGGATTTAAGAGGGGATTTCAAGGGGTTCTTTGTTTGCTGGTTTGGCAGCTGAGCAGGGCAAACCAAAAAAATAAAAAGGATTTTTATTTGGGCGTTTCCACATTGATTTTCCCTAGCTCATCTCTCATGTTCCCCTTATTTTTCCCATCTCTTTCAGGATCCAGCTGGAATCTTTGAACTCATCGAAGTTGTGGGCAATGGCACCTACGGTCAGGTCTACAAGGTAAGCAAATTTTTATACCTTCTATTTTATTATATTAGCTGTTATTTACTTGCTATTTTCGTGTTCAAATTTCGCTCGTGTGAAGTTTTTATGGCTTTCTTTTCATAAGCAAATTTTCGCCAAGAGAGAGCAATGATCTCAGACATTTTCTGAGAGTCACTTAGTCTCGTTATAATTAGCAATCGTTAGACTTTATGCTTGACTGCGTTTCGCTTAAGTTTTTGCAGTATGTTTTTTTGTTGTTTTTATTTTTTTTTTTGCAAAAACCAAATGTTTACGAGTATCTGTATCTACAGGGTGACGCCTCATCTTCCGTCTTGTTCTGGTCGCTTTAATTAGTTTGTGTCCGCTATCTTGTCTAATAACTTAAAGCGGCGAAACAAAACAAAAAATGACTACAAGCCAAAACAAAAATGCCGAGAACAGATTCTTCTCACACATTAACACATTTTTCTTGCTTTTTGCCTGCAGGGGTAATAGTACATAATAGTAGGAATAATAATAAAAAAGAAAAGAAGCGAGGGCTAAGTGAAAAAGTAGAAGTTTAAATACCCTTCAAAGGCATCTATCTAAAGTTTAAAAAAAAAACTTAATTTTTATGGCAAAATTTTAGTAACCTAACCTTCAACTTGACTTAAATGCAGTCGCGAATTCTTCAGCATCAAGCTTAAAATCCTAACTATGATGCATATTAGTTAAAGTAAACATTTTTTAGATAAAACTAGATTTATATTATTATAAAGATAAAACAAACACAAAATTTAAATTAAACGCGAATTCTTCAGCATCATCTGAAAATCATGACAAGAAAATGTATTTATTTTTTTAAAAATAATTTTCAAGCTTATACACTATAAAAGGGTATTCGAAAACAACAGCCACACAACAGTCATCATCATAATCACACAGCTAAACAATGCCTTGACTTTGTGCTTGTATTTAAATTATAAGTTTAAAATGTATCTGCAAGATACAACTGTGCAGCAGCAGCAGCGGCAGCAAAAGAAGCGGCGGCGGTACAAAAATAGACATTGCTTTTGTAAATTACCGTTAGCTGTTTGGAAAATCAGAAAAAGCGGAAAAAGTGTGGCATGCACCGCTTGGGAGGCCAACGGCAAGTTGTTGTTGTTCTTGTGCTTGGGTGTTGTTGTTTGTGTTGCATGTTGCTGTTGCACTTTGTGGGGGTCGCCGACGGCATCTCTGTGATGAATGCAACCAAATTGAGTTGCCGCCGCTGCTGGATTTGCCTCAAGTTGTTGTTTATCGCTTGTACAGATCCTAAAGTATTTTTATACCCTCGAAGTGGGTAATTTGATTTGGGAATTAGGTTTGAAGCTGAATTGAAAGGAGTAATTTCCAAGCAATAAAGTTTTACCACTTTGGATAAAAAAGATGTAAAACCCAATTCATGGAAGAAAAAAATGTAGAAAAATCTTCTGTAAAAGAAACTAACGTAAAATGTTGTAATACTTTAATCTGTAATATCTTACTGATAAGAATCTTATTAAATAAAGACATAGCCCCTCATTTCCATATCATCACTTGATCATCTTTTCCTTGAAATCCCATCTGATATAAGCTATGCACTAAGTTAATCATCGCAGAGTTTAAATATCTGCGAAATGAGTAATCAAGGCGGTGAATTTCCATTTGAAAGTGGTTTTGAGCACGTCAGTTGAAATTTGCCTAAGTAATTCCATTTCCATATCTATTTTTTATTCAATTTCTCGGAATGACCAGGCTCTTTCACGTTTGCCCTTATAAGGTTCTCTCCAGGTGGATTAAGCTCTATCGGTTACACCATTTCATGAAATTGTGCTGTCAATCAATTGGCAGCTTTCAAAAGTATCTTTAATTTCATATGTTTATGGCCGCAATTTTTGGCGAGAAAAAAGGCCTGTCAATTGGTTTCGCCCACACAATTAAAAACTGTTAAGGTTTTGCAGATCAAATTTTAATACACTTGTCGGAAATATAGATTATTTGTTGTTTGTATAAATTAAAAAAAAAAACTAAATAAAAACGCGAATTCTTTAGCAAAATTTAAAATCCTTCACATAAAGCAGAAAAATTTTGATGAAAACGCGAATTCTTTAGCAAAATATATGTAATCCATCACATAAAGTAGACAAATGTTTACTGTTTATATTTTGTTCTAAACAAATTAGTCCTAACATTTATTTACTGTGTACCCGCAGTTATTTAAAAACTTGTTAACTCAACTCGGCGACGTCTTTGGCGCTCTAAGTAGTTCGTTATTCCACAGTGGCCGAGCATCATCTGTGTGAAATTAGCATGAGTAATGCCCCCAGATTCTTTGTGTATCTGAAGCTGATTGTGTATCTGTAAAAGTATCTGTATCTGCATGTGACTAGAGAACGTCGAGGCACTTGAAAAGTAACGGATGGTGTCCATCCACTTGCTCGGTTTATGTCTCATTTCGTTGGCATTTATTTGGCTGTGGTTTTAGCCGACTTTACTTTACTGGCCTGGTCAACCGGTTTACATTCGCTTTGGTTATTGAGAAGCACCTTTTTTCTGTATTTTTTATACATTTTTTTTGGCCCCAGCAGCTTATCAAACGTCACAGTGTTGTGTTGACCAATTTTTGCCATTTGGCCTGCCTGCTTAATCATAATTTCATTTTGGCTTGGTTTTTTCGCCTTCTTGGGTATTTCGCACAGCATTTCAGTGACGATCTTTTTAGCATGACTTAATTTCATTTCTGGGAAACCAAAACCCCATTGATTTATGGACTATCTGCTGCCGTCTCCTCCAGATTTTTTGTTATTTTTTTTTCGCTTTCGTGTTTGTTTTGTTTAGGGCACTTCCGTTTTATTGATAACTTGATATTTGCACCAACTGCGCTGTTTGCTTTTTATCGCACTTAATAAGCTGGCCAAACTGTCGCCGTGAGTGAGTCAGAGAGGAACTGAAATGGAGTGGCGGGGGTAGGGAATCATTAGCCACATGCGGTTCCAGGGAACACGTACAAGTGCAACGTGTTAACGGCTTTTGTGCCATGTGCACTGATTTTTTTTGATAGTGGGGGTGTTCGGGTGTGGTTCTTATAATGAGAAGTCTGACTTTAAACGTGGTCAACTGGAAATTGTGGAAACAGCGCGGCCAAAAGGCAAAGTTCAGACAAAGAATCTTGGAAAAAGTTTAGAAAATCCGAAAGAAATTTACTTGCAGTCTCATATGTTTCCAAGTTCATTGTGGGTTTTATTTTACACAAAGTTAGTTGGGAAAAAATATTCAAATTTAACTAAGGGATTAAAACTAAAGAGAAATATTCTTAATTACGATGTTTTGTTATGCTAGAATTAAATGGTAAGACATTTTAAGACAGTTATTAAACCGCTTTTGTCTGTGAGTTGATTTTTAAGTTTTTTAGTCGACACACTAATTCTACAACATTATTTCTTGTCAATCTGATATCAGAACCCAAATCTCATATGATCTAAGTACATATAAAGTTTATATGATAAACGTGTTGGCATCCAAACAAACAAATAAAAATACAAAGCACAATTTCCGCAATGTTTATAAATGTTATTTTTGGGGCTTGGCTCCCGTTAGTTTGCCGCCCACACAATAAAAACAACGAGACAGCGAGTCGCCCACAGTTGTCGTATTATAATTAACATTTTTCATAGCTGGGCGAACTTTGACCCAATTACGGGGAACTCGAGAAGGAAGCGGTATGTAAGATGGATTGTAGTAGGAGGAAAAAGGGGGAGGGGCTTCCAGTTGGAGACAGACAAGTGCAGACAGCAAGACACAATACATATTTATGAGCGAGACATGATAATAAAGCACGCAAGCAAATAAATGGGGGAAAAATAAGAAAAAATACAAAAATTAACCAACGGCGCAGGCGCAGCCAGGCAGAAAGAAGAAGCAGAAGCTGAAGCTGAAAAAACTGCATTGCAGGGCAGTCAATAAAAATAAAACACGACAAGCGAAACATGCAAAATACATTAAAGCCAATAAACAAATCAAGCAGGAAGCTAAAGCAAAAAGCAATAGGAAAAGGCAGAGAAAAATACAGAGAAGAAACTCACAGACTTCAGACCCATAAAAAAGGCAGCAATTAGTGCACGAGTACCCAAAAAAGCATAAAAGGCTCTCTCAATGTCACAGAGCTAAAAAAGTGCCGAAATAAAAAGAAATAAAAACTAATTATTACGCAAATAGTATTTGTTGGGCAGGCTCCAAAAACACATTCAACAAACACAAGTCATTGACACGTTCCCACAGTGGGTACACGCAAAGAAAAATTATATATATTTATGATACAATAATCTAATCTTTATTAATCCTAGTCTTCTAATAACCTTATGGTTGAAATGTGATTAATACCTATTGGTATGGATTTTTTTTTCCGGAATATTTATTAAAATATTAGTTCTTATACATATACCAGATTTTTAATTTTTTTTGGGATCAACATTTATTGAGAAAATAATAGTACTTTCTTTTATAAATGGATTATACTTAGTATCATTTCAAGATTTTAGAACTTATATTTTAATGTTCGAATTTAAAAAAAAAAAAATTTTATGAGAAAATTTGATAGCCTTATAATTATAAAAATTATATCTTAAAGTTCGAGAATCCTAAAAAGATTTTAAGATTACTTTTTATATAAAAAAGTTGTGTCTGTCAATTTTGTATAGTTTTATTTTTACATATTGAAGATGAAAGCTTCTTTATTTTTATTAGTGTAGATTAGTCTCCTTTCTCTTTCCCTGCTTTACAAATATTTAAATGATTCCTCTCTGTATCTTTACCCATTCCCTGCATTTTCTGCGCTATTTCTCGCTCATTGTATTTTTAGAGGTTCACTAACTTTGCGTTTGCTCTGTTTTTTTTAGTTTTCGGTTTTCAGTTTTCAGCTTTTCGGATTTCTGATTTCGGGCTTTCTGCTTCGCTTTGTTCGCTTAATTAAATCTCTAGCCCTGACACTTTTTTCATTGACAAGGCAACCTGTATGT